AGATCAGGCTAGCCTAAAGATTCAAGAGATTAACCTGCTTCTGCCTCCTGTATGCTTTGGCTGTTGTCTCATTAGAGAAGGGACACCTTATGTATATCTTAAATACTAGCTGCTGGCACAGGACACATAAACTGACAAGATTCCCTAGAACTAGGATCATGCCAGAGACCTGGGAGCTGCAATATTTCTGCAACGTGGGTAATATTCAACTATACTCAGCTTTGTCAGTTAATGTTAGTAGCTTTCCCTGACTATTCAGAGTTCAGAAAAGGGTTTTTTTGATTTTTGGGGGTGCTGGCAGGCCTGAGTAGTGCTTCCTAGTTTGTGCATCCTTGAGGCTTCTGTTGTTGGTAACTACTGCTGGCATTCCAGGCCAGTCACCACTCTTATAGTGCCATTCTTACTCTGCACTTTAGTGTCTTAAATTCAGAGGGCTCTATAACTGATAGCTCAACCTTATTTCAGAGTCAACAGGGTGAGGGCAACATGGTTTGTTTAGTCATCAGAGTGGTAGAATACTTGAAGTGGTCCCAACAAGGTGAGCCAGGAGGAGCAGGACTTCCCAAGGCCACTTTCCTGGAACTGATGAGGGTAGCAGTGACCAGAGACATGGGTGTGATGAGGTGACTGGAGCAGGAGTCAAGTGTATCTCACATGCTGATGTGTTTGCAGCCTCCTCCAAAATTGCCCAGTGGAGTATTCAGTCTGGAGTTTCAGGATTTTGTGAATAAATGGTAAGTTTGCACCGTGTTTCTGACACCCCTGGTTTTCCCCTCTGCATTAACCCTAGCTGCACTATCCCCCTTGTAGTGCTGGGACTCATGGCTATCTGATCCTGGGTATTATTACTCTTACTTGACCTGGAAGGATCATCCTGTTGCTTTCTGACCTTGATTTAATTCGGCAAGACCTCATTTAAGTGCTTAGGCATGATGGTGTGCATAGAAGAGAGGATGAGCAAGGTTCAGGCTTCAGTATAAAGGGCAGCCATGCAAGCATAAGCAGTGTGACTGAGAACCAGTGCTCTGACACTAATCACTCTTTTTTTCAGCTTAATAAAGAATCCTGCAGAGAGAGCGGATCTAAAGCAGCTCCTGGTAAGTCTCATAGAGCCTGAGTACCCATCTGACTGAGCCTCTTTCTGCCCTGCCCCATCCCTTGTTCTTCAGTCAGACTTGGGGCTGCACAATGCCAGACATCAGTCTCCTCGGTCCTCTTATGAGTTATGGGGGTGGAGGGGGCACAGCTGGGATGCAAGTCAGGGAGGGGCCAGCATTCATAACCTTCCTGAAGACAGGCCTTTTTCTCGTTCTGCCTGGCTCACTTCACATTTCCTGAGTTACTTTTCATCTACTTCTTGCGTAATGGCAGCAGCACAGGAAGGTGATACTTTTTAAGATCCAGACTCCATGCCCTGTGCAGCCTTGAGTGTAGTGTACCTTCCAACCAACCAGAGTTGCTCAGAGAGACAAGGTTGCCCCAGCTTATATGTGCGGCAGAGGGTCTCTGGACTGTAGCTATCCTACTTGTTGCTCAAGGACCAATGCTAGAAGCATCTTCCAAGTGGTACCCAGGCCGAGACTTGCTTTTCCTTCCTGTTAGCTTTTTTGTGGTGGTGGTGTTTTTTTAAACAGCATTTTCTTTACGTGTATTCTACACACAGGTTCACGCTTTCATCAAGAGATCTGATGCTGAGGAGGTGGACTTCGCAGGTTGGCTCTGCTCCACCATTGGGCTTAACCAGCCTAGCACACCAACCCATGCTGCTAGCATCTGAGCCTTTGGGAAGCAGCAAAGAGGAAATTTTCTTCCCAGTGGCATGCCATGTTGCTTTCAGGCCTTTCCCATGCTTGTCTCTGTTCAGACGTGCATCTCATCTGTGACAAAAGATGAAGAACACAGCATGTGCCAAATTGTACTTGTGTCATTTTTAATATCACTGTCTTTATCACTATGGTTACTCCCCTAAGTGGATTGGCTTTGTGCTTGGGGCTATTTGTATGTTGCTCAAACACATGCCGGGCTGAACTGTAGTGAAACCCTGGTGACCTGGGTGGTCACTCTTTTACTGATGTTTGCACTGCTGTTCATGTTCCGTGACTCACTGGCTGGCTGCCTCTACTGTCAGGATTCTTGGACCCTTGGTACTTCACTCTTACAGGTGACCTCTCAGTCTGAGGAGAGGGAGCCTGGTGAGACCCTTCACAGGCAGTGCATGGGAAGCATGCTTTGCTGCTACTGAAATGAGCATCAGATTGTGTATATCATGTTATTTTTATTTTTTGCTTTTGGTATAGAGCTCAGTAATTCCCATCCAAAAAAAAAAAAAAAGAAAAGAAAAATCTAGCCAGAGCCCATCACTGCCATGATAGCTGGGGCTTCAGTCTGTTTACTGTGGCGATTTTTAGACTTCTGGTTGTATTTCTATATTTATTTTTAAATATACTGTGTGGGGTACTTAGTGTGGTGTATGTCTCTTAAGTTTGAATTAGTGTTTCTAAATAGGTGGAGTTATTTTGAATGTCACAAATGGATCACAAATCAGTATGTGTCAGAGTTCTATCTTTCCTTCAATCCAAGCACCAATGCTATTGTAAACTACGTGTATAGTGCCTACAAATTGTATGAAAACCCTTTAACCATTTTAATCCAGATGTTTATCAAATCTAATCTCTTATTCTAATAAAAATACTGTCAAGTTAAAATAAAAAGGACAAAAGATATTTCTGCTTTTGTGGCAGGCCTTTCAATGTCTCTAGACTATGGGAAATGAAGTGATTTAGCCATGTACTGAAGTAGGGGAAAGTGAAGACAGGAACACAGTTGGAAGGCATAAATGCTACATATGAGGATTTCTGTTGCTCATATGAACACCCTGACTGAAAGCAACTTGGGGAGGAAGGGGCTTATTTCATCTTACAGCTTGTAGTCAGTCCATCATCCAGGTAACTCAGCGAAGGAGCCTGGAGGCAGAAACTGAAGCAGAGGCCATGGAGGAACCCTGCTTACTGGCTTGCTCTTCATGCTTGCCGAGTTTTTCTTTTTTCTTTTATTGTGTATACAGCCTTCTGTCTACAGGTACCAGATCTCATTCAAGGTGGTTATGAGCCACCATGTGGTTGCCAGGAATTGAACCTCTGGAAGAACAGTCAGTGTTCTTAACCGCTGAGCCATGTCTCCAGCCCGCCGAGTTTTTCTTATAGCACCCAGCAACACCAACACAGGGATGACACAGCCACAGTGAGCTGGGTGCTATTACATCAGTCATCATTCAATAAAATGCACAAGCCTGTCCACAGGCCAATTTGATGGGGGCATTTTCTCAATTGGGGCTCTTCTTCCAAAATGACTCTAGCTTGTTTTGAGTTTACATTACAAACTAGCCAATTCACAGGGCATGGTAGCATATGTGTCTTTAATTTCAGTACTTGGGGAACAAAGGCAGATGGCTTGGTATATACAGTGAGTTCCAAGATAGCCAGTGCTTTGTAGAGACCTTGTCTCAGAAAAAGAAAAACACACACACACACACACACACACACACACACACACACACACACACACACACACACACACACACACACACACACACACACTGCCAGCTCTGTGCAGTAGTGTGCTAAGGGGTCAACTTCAGTCTTTGGATCAACTATACTCAATGCAGAACAGTGACTACCACCTTTCCAGGACCTGTGAATAAGTAGTTTCTTTGTGGTTTCTATTGTGAAAAAACACCCTGACCAAAAGCAAATGTAGGAGGAAAGGGCTTACATATCCTGACTCACAGTCCACTGAAGTAAACCAACGTAGGTACTTTCAAACTAGGTGGGAACCTGGAAGCTAATTTAGAGGCAGTGAAATAAGGCTGCTTACTGGCTTGTTCAGGCTTTTTAATTATAGCACTCAGGACCATCAGCTCAGGGGCTGGGCCCTCCAACATCAGCCACAAAGAAAATACTCTACAGGCTTGCCTAAAGCTCAGTCTTACAGAGGCATTTTCTCAATCAAGGTTTCCTCCTTTTAGATGACTGTAACTTGTGTCAAGCTGACAAAAACCTAGCCAGCACAGTGGGGTTGGGCATCTGTCTTGAGCAAAATCATAAGCTATGATTTTTTTCTCACAGATCATTCCTTATTTGTAGCAGTGCCTGCTTGCAGTTCCGGTAGCCATTCTCACAGCAGAGCAAGCCTTCATCCAGGTCTAGTCGTCTGCTGTGCTATACTGGGAAGTGGGTTCCTTTCACTACTTATAGAGCTAACTACACACTCCAGGGAGAGGTACTCCCAGTGCTGAGGTAGCTGTAAAGTCAGAAAAACAAGATGTGGGGTCTCATCCTTAAGAGTACTGCTGTGCAACTGTGAGGTAATTTAGATACCAGCACTCGCATTAGAAGCTAGACATCCCACAAACATTTGCAACTGCAGCTCTGAGGAAATTGAGCTTTGTACCCACATCTACTTACACACATGGTAGTGTAACAGCCCAGGCTGGTCTTGAACTCACAAAGATCTACCTGCCTCTACCTCCTGAGTGCTGGGATTAAACAAGTACACTACCACTGCCTGGCATTTTTCCTCTAGTTTATTTATTTATTTATTCTGGTTTCTGTGGCAGGATTTCTCTGTGGCTTTGGAGGCTGTCCTGGAACTAGCTCTTGTAGACCAGGCTGCCCTCAAACTCACAGAGATCCGCCTGCCATTGCCTCCCGAGTACTGTGATTGTGTGCGTCACCACCACCCAGCAATTTACTTTTTTTTTTTTTGGAGACAGGGTCTGTTTATGTTGTCCTGGCTTTCCCAGAACTTGCTATGTGGACCATCACATTGGCCTGACATCCTGCCTCTGTGAGTGCCCATAGTAATGACTAAAATTGTGTTTTGGTTTGGTTATAGTCCAGGCTGGCTTCAGTGGATGGCAAGTACTCCTGCTAGAGAATCTCAAAGCCTGAGATTACAGGTGTGTATATGCCAAAGCTGGCTAAAACTTTAGTCCCCTGAAGTTGACTGTGAATTGTTTCATATATTTGAGCAGAAAAAACAAAACATTTTTGTGGCTTGCTGTACACTAAACCCTGCGTGCTAGGATTAAAGGTATGCACCTCCATCACTATTTTCTTCAGATAGGGTCAGTGAACCCGAAGCTCACTGGTTTCAATAGACCAGCTGGCCACACAGCTTCAGGGATCGTTGGTCTCCCTATCCTCAGTGCTGGGGTTACAGACATGTAACACTATGCCCAGCTTTTTACAGTTTTGGGGATTCAAACTCAGGTCTTCATATTTGTATGGTAGACACTTTAAAACCAAGTCTCTCCTATTCACAAGTGTGTATATACTCTTTCACATAAGCCCCAGGGCCCAAGGCAAGTGCTAGATTTAAAAATTTAGTTTGTAAAACTAACCCTAGCTCTTGTCTCCCTTTAGGAATCAGATTCTTCCTCTTCTTCCTCCTCCTCCTCCTCCATAGGGTTCCTTGTGCTCAGCTTCAGTGTGGTTTGATTGATTGATGCTTCATTGTCTACATGCACTGACATCTGTAACACAAAAACATCTGCATTACTAAGAGGGCGTCTCAAAACAGCACACTCTTTTTTTCTTCATCAAAATAGCAAATTCTTTAAAATCAAGTTTCATTTGTGGGGTTGGAGAGATGAACAGCAGTTAAGAGTGCTTGTTGATTGCAGCTGGCAGTGGCACTCGCCTTTAATCCCAGCATTAGATAGGCAGAGGCAGGTGGATCCATGAGTTCAAGGTCAGCCTGGTCCACAGAGTTCCAGGATACACAGAGAAATCCTTTTTTTTTTTTTAATCACATTTTTGTAACTGAGGGGAAAGAGCATTATCCTGTTTCTTGTTTCTCCCATTACTGAAAAGAGGTAAGAATAAAACGTTAACTGGCTCTCAGTTCTTTTAGAAACCCTCAGCAAAATAATTATGTAGACTACGTGGTTTATCACAGAATTTCAAAAATATGGTATGTTTAGAAAGAATATGATTGTACTGTCTTTTTGTTTTGTTTTGCTTTTTGAAAACTGGGTCTCTCTTTGTAGCCTGGCTATCTTGGAACTCGCTCTGCAAACCAGGCTAGCCTTGAACTCACAGAGATCTACTTGCCTTGGCCTCCCAAGTGCTGGGATCAAAGGTGTGCACCACCACCCATCGGCTTGTATTGGCCTTTTTAGCCCTTGCTTTGTACATGAAGCCACATCCACACAGAGCAGCAACTATGACATAGTCCTAAAATATTCCTAAATGAGCCACGTTTCACCAGGCGGCAGTGATGGTGGTGGTGTATGCCTTTAACCCCAGGACTCGGGAGGCAGATCTTTGTGAATCCAAGGCCAGCTTGGTCTACAGAGTGAGTTCCAAGACAGGCTCCAAAGCTATACAGAGAAACCCTGTCTTGAAAAACAAAACAACAACAACAAAAAAGGAGCCAGTTTCTAAACAGTATGTGGGGGTACATGCCTGTAATCCTAGACAGAGATCAGAAGGCAGCCAGCCTGGGTTTATAAGACACTGCTTCAACATAAAACTCACTATGACTACCAGTTTCTTGGGGTTCACGTGAATGACTGGAAATAAAGGAGTAGTCTGAGTAACTGGGAAGGCCAGGTGTAGTGGTGTACAATACAAGAACAGAGGCTGCTTAAATGGGACAAAGTATAAAAGACAGGCTATTTATTGCCTGATAGATTAATGAAGATTAGCTATTTATTGAACTACAATATTGAGGAGCTGGAGATATAGCTCATGGGGAGGGTGCTTGCTTACCATTTATAAGCTCCCAGGTTCAATCCACAGTAAATTCCCTCATGCCCCAAATATTTGATTGGCATTTTCCAGGGTTTGATAATGTGCTATACAGCATTTGCTAAACGCATGCAGCAAGGGAACAATGGGACTCCACATTATCTAGAAGCCTGTTCTTGACTAAACTTACATCATACTGTATAGGTGCAGGCTGAGAAGGCAGCGTCTCAGTCCCTCTTCGAGAGCTTATCATTGATTGGAGGGCCAATTCTTCCACCTAGGAAAGAAGAGAGAACATTTTACTGAGTAGTCTGCTGGGGTACCAAAGTGAGTGAATTCCGTTGGATGCTGTAATGGTTGGCATCATGAGAGGAAACTGCTTCCAATCCCAGGACTGTTCCAGAAAGGCAAAGGGCGTTCTTAACCTGTACCAGACAGGGTATCACTATCTAGTTCTGGTTGTCCCAGAATTCCATGTGTAGACTAGGTTGGCTTTGAACTCACAAGAGATCCCCCTGCCTCTGCTTCCTAAGATCTGGGAGTAAAGGCGTGCGCCACTACACTAGGCCTGAAGAGATACTAGATGGAGTATGTGGCTTTGGCAGGCTTTGCCCTTCTCCCCATTGCCTCTGCCTTACTTAAAACCATTAGATTACATCCCGAAGCTAGCCCCCATGGTCCATTTCTTATTTGGCCAATCCCTCCTCCTGAGGCAGATTACTAAGGTCCAGCTATCAAAGATCCAACAATCAAAAACTCTCCTTGGTTCATCTAATTAACATGCCCAATTAAAATTAAACACCCTATCCTAATACGAGGTTTTCCCTTGTACCTTTATAAACTATTTTCCTATGGGCCATGTCTTTCTCTTCTCTATCCAGAGGCAGTCATTTGTCCTAAGGGACAAATACTCTTGCCCTCTTTCCTGAGTTACCTTTCTATTGCCCCTCATCCTCAATCTCCTGCCTTTGTCTCTTATTCCCTGCCCTCTGACCCTCTGGGGCAAATAAATCTTTGTGCTGAGAACTTGGTCTTACGGTATACTGAGTGAACTTTAAGGTTCCCTACATGGCTTTACCTGCTTTTTTTTTTTTTTTTTTTGGTTTTTCGAGACAGGGTTTCTCTGTGGCTTTGGAGCCTGTCCTGGAACTCGCTCTATAGACCAGGCTGGCCTCGAACTCACAGAGATCCGCCTGCCTCTGCCTCCCGAGTGCTGGGAGTAAAGGCGTGCGCCACCAACGCCCGGCTTTACCTGCTTTTTTGATACTGGGTTCCTATGTCTAAACCTTGCTGTCCTGGAATTCACTCTGTAAACCAGGCTGGCCCTGAACTTAGAGAGATGCACTTGCCTCTCCTTACCTTTTTTTTTTCTTTTTTTTAATGAGGGGCTTTCTAAGTGTTTAGCTACGCTGCAGGCTTCCACACCCCACAACCAAGCAGCTCAATGAGGAAATGCAGGCACACCACTGAAAAGCCAGGTATAGAGGGGTCAGAGAGATGAATCAGTGGGGTTAAGACTAGAGAGTCTAGGTTCTATTCTCAGCACAAATATGGTGGCTCACAACCACCTGTAACTCCAGTTCCAGGTAATCCAGCACCTCCTTCTGTCCTCCTCAGACACTAGGCATAAACGTGCTGCACAGACATACATGCAATAGATACAAAATTACATACACGGATAGATGTAAAATTAAAACAAACAAGCCCGGCGGTGGTGGCGCACGCCTTTAATCCCAGCACTCGGGAGGCAGAAGCAGGCAGATCTCTGTGAGTTCGAGGCCAGGCTGGACCGACAGCCTCCAAAACAATACAGAGAAACCCTGTCTCGTAAAACAAAACAAAAAAAAAAATTAAACAAAAGATACAAACAGACAAAGACATAGATGAATATATATAGTCAGGTGTAGCAATTGCATTCCTGTAATCCCAGAACTGAAGGAGGCAAAACGATCACAAACTTGAGACCAACTTTGGCTACAGAGAAGTTTCCAGACCAGTCAGTCTCAGTTTCCAAGCCCCCTTCTCCACCCCCCCCCCCCCCCTCAAGTCAGGGATCAGCTGGCTCCACAGACACAGATGGACATCCTAGGCCTGAGTTTGTCTACACATTAATGAGAAAGTGAAGACAGAAGATCAGAAAATGCATGTGTTTCCTGGAGCATCAGGGTACCTGCGTTTGGCAAGTCATCAACATATAATCATTAGGTGCAGTAAGTGTGAGCCGTTTACAACCGCCCTGAGGAAAACTGTTTATCATTTTCTGTACCACGAGTATACAAGTTCAGTTTGTAAAGGTCACTTATATTTAAAGATCTTGCATACGAGTGAGGTTCTGGGGTTACCATCATCTTTCACAGGGGTCAAATTATCCCCTGGTCTAGGGAGTGATCAAGGCAAATGTAATTCTGCGTTCCTCCTAGGCAGTATCTGCTCCTGAGAACTCTACGGGTAAGTTTCTTTCCCAGGCCTCATTCGCACCCTAGGAGGATCTAAACTCCCTTCTAGTTTTGCAACACTAAAGTCCTTTCCAGTGTATATAAATACCGGCGAGAGTCAGCGGTGGGCTTAGGGGGCTAAGCTGAAGACCTAGAGGTCGGAGCGGAGGGGAGCAAGCTGCGCTGCCCGGAGCTCTACCGCACGCGCCGGACAACCGCTAGGGGTTGCGGCTGGAGGGCGGCTAGCTCACCTTGAGACGGTTCAGTTGGTCGTGAAGGGCCGCCTTTAGGCGCAGCAGGGTCTCCTCCTCCTTGCGAAGCTCCTGTAGTCGGCTTAGCATGCTTTCATCTGTTTAGGCCGCGTTCTTCTGCCGGGCGCCGGGTGATGACATCACTTCCGACTCCCGGAAGGAGGCATTGAGTTGCTGGATTATTCTCTTCAAACCACTTAGTATGGGTTCGGTTTAGACAAGGAGACTGAAAGAACAGGATAATTGAACTCCAAGGAACTTGGAGATTCAAGTCTGTTGCTGGTCCCTGAAAATAAAATTGGGCAAACTCGTTTCATAGGCCTCAGGAAGTTAAATTCTCATCGGAGCACTTTTTTTTTTTTTTTTGGTTTTTCGAGACAGGGTTTCTCTGTATTGTTTTGCAGGCTGTCCTGGAACTCACTCTGTAGACCAGGCTGGCCTCGAACTCACAGAGATCCACCTGCCTCTGCCTCCCGAGTGCTGGGATTAAAGGCGTGCGCCACCAATGCCCGTCCTCACCGGAGCACTTTAAGGGTGTTTTCGAGATAGGGTTTCTCTGTTGTTCCTTTACTGACCTGGCCGACCTCCAGATCCGCCTGCTGCTGCCTCTGGAGTCACTGCTAACCTGCTCAGCACTTCTATTGTGCTCATTTGTTCCAAATGGCTTTACAAGAACTGTAGACATTTGCAGGCATAAACCAAACTTCTAAGGCGGGCGTTGGTGGCACACGCCTTTAATCCCAGCCCTCGGGAGGCAGAGGTAGGTGGATCTCTTGTGAGTTCGAGGCCAGCCTGGTCTACAGAGCGAGTGCCAGGACAGCCTCCAAAATAATACAGAGAAACCCTATCTCGAAAAAACAAAAAACCAAACTTCTAGTTCAAACCTTTAAGCTCCCACTTTGCAGGTAATGAAAAAGCTAATATATTCCAATTCCAGTTCCCCCTCCTACTCTTCCCAGAAGCTCCACGGAGAAGGTAAGGCCTCGAATAGGAAGTCTATAAAGTCTGTCCCATCATGGAGACTAATTTTTTTCTGGGCTTAACTGTCTGGTAATGGTTTCAAATACTACAAAGGCAACAGGGAAATCAAGGTCAACTGTAGGATGACCAGATTGACGTTAGATGAGTAAACATCTGTGTCACTGCTGGTTAACACAACTAAGACGTACGTAGCTCCCAAGGCTACCACAATTGAGGGCAGATGTTTCCTTGTTCCATCATGCCCACTTCATGGAACCGTGCACTTCCACTGTATAAAGGTTTGGGAAAATCTCAAACTCATTTTGTATCAGGCTATAATGTGCCTAAACAGAATGAGACACTAAAAACAAAAAATGTCCTTGTTCTTTATGCAACCCTGATAGCCTAAGCTTGGATACCCAGAACTCTTATTTCTAGCCACTCATCCTACAAAGGGGGAGGGAGGTCTTGGGAACATTAAGATTCACACAAACTGTTTCACTGTATCTTTGATCAGATTTTTTATTCAAATAGGCTGTCTCTGTTTGCACTATGGAATGAAACAGATTTCAAATAGTTAAGCAGCAGGCTTTTTCTCCTCTGTGGTAGTTTTCTTCCCAGCTGCTGGCTTCTTGGTGGTTGCAGCCTTTTTCCCTGCAGGCTTCTTCGGCTTCTTGACATCCACAGGCTTCTTTTCTTTCTTACTCTCTGTAGACTTCTTGTCTGCTGCCCCTTTCTCTGATTTGGCTGCCAGGGCTGCTGCTGCTGCTTCCAGTTTCTTCACCCGGAGTTTGTGCTGCAACACAGACAAATAGGAAATTAAGAATTAAATGCTCAACCCTTAATCCCAGTACTTGAGAGAGGAAGAATCTGTCAGTTTTAAGAGCTGCCTGGTGCACACAGTGATTCCCAGGACAGTCAGAGGCAGTGTGAGACCATGGGGTGGGTAAAAAAGATTGACAATTCCCGACACAGCAAATTATGCCTTACATTTCTGGCCTGGCGAAGAATGGTATTCCTGCGCATTGTCTTTGCATAAGGGTTCAGCTTCAACATGATTCTCAGGTTCTTCAGTGGATTCTTCTTCAAGACTCTACGATGAATCTTCTTGCTATAAAGAGGTAGCACAAAATCAATTAACACGTATACCTTTAAAATTTAAAGGTTAAAGCATCAGGTTATAGCAAGAGCTTTAAATATCCAAACTTTACCGTGGTGCTCGGAGGGCTCTTTGGATCTCTGGGCTTTTCAAGATTCTGCTAAGGTCTGTGTTCATCATCTTGTGCATGGGAAGGCTGGGAAGAAATTATAAAACTCTGAATTCTCATCTTCTAACTGAACATACATCACAAGAACTATATTTCAAATGTGCAAACTCTCCAGGTACAGAATTTTCCACCTGCTAACTTTTGTAATCATGGATTAGAGACATACTGTTTATCCCCACAATGGGAAATGTAAAAACCCAATGCATAATTTAGGAACATAAATCTAAATCAAGCCGGGCGTTGGTGGCACACACCTTTAATCCCAGCACTCAGGAGGCAGAGGCAGGCGGATCTCTGTGAGTTCGAGACCAGCCTGGACTACCAAGTGAGTTCCAGGACAGGCTCCAAAGCCACAGAGAAACCCTGTCTCGAAAAACCAAAAAAAAAAAAAAAAAAAACAAATCAAAACAAAACAAAAAAACTAAATCAAGTGCCATTATAAATACACAGTCTAGGCATCCACGTATCCATGTGCAGTAAATATAGGAAACTCACTCACTTATAGTTACTCTTGAGGGAGGCCGCCTTACGCCAAGTGCCATACAGCTCATCTAACTTCCGGAAGGCACCCTCAGTCCAAATGCAGAAGCGTCCCACATGCCCACCAGGAGCAAGTTTCAAAATGTTCAGCTTGCTTACATTAAGCAGAGTAATACCTTCAAAGGCAAGGAAGAATTAGTCTGTATTCAATCAACAAGAGAAATACAATTTTTAGGGCTTAATGAGTTACACAAAGCACTAAGTCTAATAAATTGTTAAGTTCAAGCCTTCATGGTGGAACTCACTCATCTAGGAATCAGAACTTCCACAAAATCATGTTTATTTCAGAAACACGGACCATGAAGTGGAATTTCATCATTACCAAAGCTGAGTGAGTGTATACCAAACAGGGAATTAAAACATAACACTGTCAGGCAGTCTTGGGCCATGCCTTTAATCACAGGAGTTCGAAGTTAGCTTGGTCTACAGAGCTAGTTACAGGACAGGCTTCAAAGCTACAGAGAAAACCTATCTCAAAAAACAAGAATCTTTAACATTAGAAGATTTACCAGGGATGTTTCTGAAGGCCTTGATGATACCATTATCTTCATTATAGATGATGCAGGGTCCCCTGCGCTGGATACGTCTTCGGTTTCTCATTTTGCCCTTGCCAGCTCTCATTCTCTGAGAGGCATAGACCTATAGAGGGAGCAGCTTTAATATTCTGATCAAGGCATAAACTTGCTTCCAGGTCTTCAGCTAAAAAACCAGGACAGAGAGAGGTCTCAAGCAGGTAGAGGCACTTTCAGCCAAACCTGATGTTTGATCCCTGGGACTCACAATTCTTTGTTAGTATTTCACATTTCACCTCAGTTACTAAAGGGTTCTGACTTGCTCAGTAACAATTTTCGTCAACCTTCTGATTCAGCTTACTGACAGCAGGCAACTGTCACTGAAAACAGAGTAGGACGCAAATTACAACATCATTGCAAGCAAAATTGTACTGTATCAAACACATTCTGTAAGAAAATAACAGAAACTCCTGCAAGTTCTCTTACACATACACAAATAACAAATGTGATTAATAGTAGTGTTCATATAATACCATTTTTTATAAACACCTCAAATCTATACTCTCATCTTTGGATCTGAGATTCCTAACATCTACCTCCTATCAAAACTAAATGTTGACCCACTCACCCTTTAAACCAAAATCTAACAGCACTGAACGGTAAATGTGTATGTTGAGCCTACCTTTTTGATGTCATTCCAAGCTTTAAGTTTCTTAAGTAGCTGAACAGCCTCCTTGGTCTTCTTGTAACCTTCAACCTTATCTTCAACTACCAAAGGGAGTTCAGGAACTTCCTCAATACGATGACCTATCCAAACCAAATTCAATACTTAACAAGGTCTCGACTCTTTACACACAGACCCAAAGCAAAACAGCATCATCAGTCAAGTCAGAATTTCCACTAATATCATGTGTTTCAGAAACACGGACCAATTAAGTGGAATTTCATCATTTTGACAGCTAAAAATACAGCAGGAATTTGATGGGAGCTATAACCAAGGGCTTACTAGACCAAAACAAGCAGAACTGCTTTTAGTAGACACCAAGAGGGATAGAATTCACTCAGGCTAATCACCTAACAGAGGTTTCCATGAGAGGTATAAATTATGTCTTGTATGCAATCATCACAGACCTTTAGACATCACCAAGGCTGGTAAGGCTGAGGCAGCCAAGGCAGAACAGATGGCGTATCGCTTTTGGGTTGTGTTCACTCTGCGGTGCCAACGACGCCAGGTTTTGGTTGGTGCAAACATGCGGCCTCCCCGGCACATCTGTTTTCTTTGTCAAGAATTATACAATTTTTCAGTTGTGGAGAATTAGTGAGGTTATGACTTGCTCAGTAACAACATTCGTCAACCTTCTGAACCAGCTTACTGACAGCAGGCAACTGTCGCCATGAACAGAGTAAGACGCAAATTACGACATCACTGCAAGTAAACCCCCCATCAAACATCTCCAGACTGTAGTCTAGAGGTTCTGTTTACTGGGGACACTAGCACTTTTACACAAGATTCTAAATATTATTTAACATTAATAAATGAATCCAAGTCAATCGTTTAATTGCAAAGAATCCTAGTACAGAAACAGGATACATTTCCAAAGGCACCCTGGCCAGAACGGTGCGTTCCACCACCTCGGACTCTGGGAATTCGAGCCACAGCCCTGCCAGTACCCCAAGACTCAGCACTGGTTTGATGACCTAAAATCAAGAAGAAGTATTAAGTACTAAGCCACAACAACCCATGGCTTATTTTATGCATGTAAAGGCAGTATCAGAATAGCCAAGGAAAATCACATGGTTCAGAAACACGGACCAATGGCATTTCATCACTCACTGCAAAGAAGCCCTAACCATGATAAATGTAAATCCATACCTGCTAATTCACTCACGGCATAGGGCTGTCTGTTGTTTTTCCTCAAGTTTGTGTGAACAAAGTTCACAATATCCGGTCGAATGGGTGCTTTGAACACAGCTGGCAAAGTGACATTTTTGCCAGATGACTCCCCTTTTTCAGAGTACACCGATATGAGGGGACGGGCACAAGCCTTGGGGGGAAGAAAAAGCTAACTCAGACACAACGCAAGCATCATCTCCTGTATTTGGAATCTAAATTTTAAAATACAGTTTAACGAGTTGCCACCAAATATAAGACTACTTGTGATATTACACTTTGTGAAGAACTAGGTACTGGCAGGTGTTGAGAAACAGGGGTGAACCAGTACATTCACTTCACAAAAGGACAACAGAACCATATCATGTTGTAATACTCACTTGAGAAAATAAAAAGATTTACTGACAATGTTGGAGGCAAACAATACTCAAAATCAGAACTAAATGACAAAGACACAGGCTGAGTTTATATACACGCCAATTTGTGCTTGTTTAGCAAGGATGGGAGCGTGCCAGAGGTTGTTAGCAGGTGAGGAAAATCAGAAACCCTGTACCAAACCCATAGTTCAAGAAACAAGACTATCGTTTCAATAGTTTTACAGCCAATGAACAGCTACAGCGCGAGTATCTGTCATTTTAAGAGAAGAATATATTTTGAGTGAAAGTTTGAAGATGCTGTTCAGTGAGGCCATGTAAACTCCACCGACCCCCCATTTCAAACATTGCCTTCTCAGTCTCATTTGCCCAAGGCTCCAGGCCTCTTTTCAAGCTCAGAAACGAAACAGGTCACACTTTCAGAACTCTTTGAAAAGACACTCACCTGAATGGCCCACACCACCTGCCCACTTCCGTTTCACCTCTAGTCTCCTACATTCTTTTCCAGGTTCTTTTCAGAGACTCGTTCATCTTACCTTTCCTCTCTCCCTTTAAGTTCTCAACTCACCGGCCAACCGATCTAGTCAATTTAAGATACACCTCGGCCATGTCTTCAAATACTAATTTACTGTGGTTAGACCAACCTTATCCCATGCATTAGGTGGAGCACAGAAAGACAGTTGTGAAAATAACATGATTACTAATGGGAACGAGCTTGTAGCTCAAGCCATGCAGGTTACATCAAATAAGAACATTACTTTTCAAGCGGCGAAGACTTTGCTTTTCTAGAAAACATTTCAAAGAGGAAGAGACAGCCTTTGAGAACTCCTTTTAAAAGGCATTAACACTAATTCCCTCGGCGCTTTCCTTCGAGATAGATATACATTCGCCGGCCGGCAAGCACATGTCACGCCACAAGGCCCATGCCAAGTTGCCGTCGGGGGAGTCAGCAGCAAGGAGCTCGGCTTCCAGATGCCCTTTTGTCCTAACAACTACGGAAAGCGAGGATCCCAAAGGCCGCTCTGTCGTCCACCCCGCGTTGTCTACCACGTTGGCTCTAAGATGGCTGCCGCAGCGCCCACAACCCAGCTCCCTGCCATCAAAGGTCTTAGGTTCCCTTCCCAGGTCCTCTTAGCCTGCCGATCCCATGTTCTGATCCCTTCATCCTCCCCCACAGGCCCCAGAAACGAAGGTAAAGTCCCGCTGAGAAGACCTCCACTCACCATGATGGGGAGAGGAGAAGGCCACGCTCCTCTCAACCCGGCGGATCCCACAGGAAAAGGAAGGACCTAGCACCTACCCTCCACACATATCCTTCCTCTCGACTCACATCCGGCCCCTCCCTAAAACCAACTCGGAGAACCAATATATTTCTTTATTACTCTGTAAAATTTGAAAACATCATATTATTACTTCATATGTGTTAAAATCTGTATCTATTTTTTTCTAAAGCTAAAAAAACTGGTTAGAAAAGAGGGACTCTTTTCCGCGGAATAATTCGTAACTCGACAAGAACTCTCGCGAGATGAGGTTTCTCGCCCCCTCAATCACAACATCTATTTTAACTTTTTTCCTCCCACCCGACATTAATGGGAGCCTATTAGAATCACAAATGCCACTGGGTGCTCTAATAAATTAGAACGATATGTGTTAGTGTTGGACAAAAACGAACTTAATGTTGTGAAGTAGTTCCGGCGGGGCGGAGTCATGGCCCCTGACGTCAGCGTCGGGGCGCGCAGTTCAGTTTAGAAGCTCCGGATTGGGAGGCCGAGGCGGGATGTGGGCGCGTATGAACCGCGCGGCCGAGGAGTTTTATGCTCATCTTCTGCAGTGAGTTGTGGCTGAGGAATGGAATGGCATCTCGTCCCTCCCGGCCTTTGTGTCTCTGCCCGAGTCTGAAGGCTTCGCGCACTGTCGGCCTCACTGGGGTTTGGGACAGGAGAGGGCGGGTCTCGGCTGTGCGGCGGGTTTGGCTCTGCTGACGCCTAGGCCTGCTAGCCTCCCGAGAAAACATCAGTACTAGAGCGAGAGGGTCAATTTACTCATTTTACTGATGCACCCAGTTCTAAGTAGCGACTCCCGGGATATGGAGAACTAGATGTCATCCGTCTCCTGCCTTAAGCTCTGACTGACTGCTGAAAAAGAAATGTATAGTTGTCCGGTCTCTTCTGTTACTATCTGAGCTACATTTGACCCTGAGCTGGTTTCAAAAGTCACTACTGTTTCGCTGTTGTGATTTTCTTGAGACAGGGTCTCAACTCTAGCCCAAACTAGACAGAAACTCACCTCGAATTCACAGCGACATTCCTGGCCAGCATCCTCATGCTTAGATTAGAGGCATGAGCCACCATGCCAGAATTCACATTGTTCCTTTAGTGAAATATTACTACAAGAGGATTCTGTCAATTCTACATCCTGTATGAAAATTGAAGACAGTGTCTCATATCTGACCCTGCATCAGAATCACCCCTGGGAATTGTCAAAATACTGATTTACGGGCTCTGCCTCCATGTTTTTTGATAGGTCAGATGTGGAAACAAAAAGTTTACCTTTCTAAATTCTAGGTTCAGGGTGTTGCTGGCTGGGTATAGCACAGTATTTTTAAAATGCTATACTCTTCCTATTTACAAAAGCAGTATTGCTTCTAAAATACTCTTAATGTTATAGTAGAAGAACTAGCTTGTTTTGTTTTTGTATTTCCACAGTTTCTCTATATAGCCCTGGCTGTTCAGGAACTCTTTCTGTAGACTGGCCTCCAACTCAGCCACCTGCCTCTTCCTCCGAAGTGTTGCTGGCATTAAAGGCACATCTTCACTGCCCAGCTAAGAGCTACTGTTTTTAGAGAAGTTAATGATGTCTTTGAGCTCAGCAGCTTTAGTTGTTTTTAACTGCTGTGGTAGTTCTGCCATGGTGTTAAGTACTTCATTTTTGTTTTTTTCTTGGTTTTTCGAGACAGGGTTTCTCTGTTATTGTTTTGGAGCCTGCCCTGGAACTCGCTCATGGCTTTGAACTCACAGAGATCCGCCTGCCTCTGCCTTGAGTGCTGGGATTAAAGGCGTGCGTCATCAACGCCCGGCCTTGTTTTTTTTTAAACCCAAAGGTCTCATGTAGTGCAGGCTGGCCTCCAAGCCAAGGACGAGTTGAACTAATAACCACCCTGCCTGCATTTCCAGTGTGCTGTCATTATAGGCAGGAGGCATTCTGCCCAGTTTTTGAGGTCTTTAGGAACAGAGTCCAGGGATTCACACACGTTAGGCAAGCAGTCTTATACCTGAGTTATGATACTAGCCTATATGGTTGTATCGTCTGTTTTATCAACCCCACTGATAATAATTTACTTACATCCATCATGCTTACCAATTATTTCCTGAGTGTTTTCTTCCCAATGTGATATTTAACTCCAGCATTCTTTCAAGTTAAGAGTTCTAAATCTAAGACTCCAGCTTCCTTGCTTTCACCTTTCCCAGACTCCCCACCACTTTGTTCTTTTATTTTTTTGCTGAGGATTGGAGGTGGGGTGGTTTTGTGATGCTACACAAGTGTTCTACCCTTGATCCCAGTCTCTTTATTCTTGTCCATCTTACTTGTGGCCATTATGTCTGAAAAACTACAAGTCATTCACAGTTGTTTTCCTTCCAGAGTTGTTGGTACCCCCTAGCTGACAGTTTACTCTTTGGATGCCATCACAACTGGTTTTGTTTGCTATCCCCAGTATCTTAACAACTCAGAAACAGTTGCTTCATGACCAAGCAATATCCTTATATGTAAGAGACAACCATCTTTAAGAGAAATTCACAATCTTGGGCCAGCACATGCTGCCAAACCTCATGGCGTGGCATGGGACCCACATAGTGGGAGGAGAAAATATCCCACAAGTTGTCCTCTGACTTCAGCAAGCACACACACACACAAACACACGCACACACACTCACACATAATAAGAAATAAAGAAACAGCGGGGTGTGCTGGCAAATGCCTTTTTAATCCCAGCTCTCAGGAGGCAGAGGCAAACAGACCTCTGTGAGTTTGAGGCCAGCCTGGTCTACAAAGCAAGTTCCAGGACAGCCAGAGCTGTTACATAGAGAAACCCTGTCTTGGAAAAAAAAAAAGAAGGAAAGAAAAGTCTTGTACAATATGCAGAAATTAATCTGTCAGGCCTGTTTTCCGTGCTTCTGTCAGTTAGGTCTAGTGTCAGATTAAAAGAGGCAAACTGTATCCTGAGATAGCTGCTGGACTTTCCAGTAAAGACTTCCCTATAGATTAGACTTCGTTCGCATTGGTGTTTCATTGCAGTGTGCTAATGGTTTATAATTTGTGTGCTGTGAAACAGGGCTGAACAGTTAAGAGCACCACTTACGGTGAATTGCAGCTGTGGTGGGAGGGTCCAATGTTCTCTTCTGGCCTCCTGTAGTTACATGCACAGACATTCACACAACTAATTAAAATATCAAATCCTTTTATTTTGTTTTCAAAGATTTATTTATGCATATGAGTGCTGTATTTTCTTGTAGGCATTCGTTACAATATAGGGCATCAGATCCTGTTATAGATGGTTGTGAGCCACTATGTGGTGGCTGGGAATTGAACTCAGGACCTCTGGAAGAGCAGCCAGTGCTCTCAGCCACCAAGCCATCTCTCCAGCCCCACAATTTTTTTTTTTTTGGTTTTACGAGACAGGGTTTCTCTGTATTGTTTTGGAAGCTGTCAGTCCACACCGGCCTCGAACTCACAGAGATCCACCTGCCTCTGCTTCCCGAGTGCTGGGATTAAAGGCGTGTGCCACCAACGCCCGGCTTGGTTTTGTTTTTTAAATAGGCAGCCCAAGTTGCCCTCCCTATAACTTATCTTCCTGCTTTAGTATCTTAAGTACTGGAGTTACAGGTGTATACCACTATCCATAGTAGATGTTTACATTTTTAGGTTTTTTTTTTTTTTTTTTTTTTTTTTTTTTGGTTTTTTCAAGACTGGGTTTCTCTGTGGCTTTGGAGCCTGTCCTGGAACTCGCTCTATAGACCAGGCTGGCCTTGAACTCACAGAGATCCGCCTGCCTCTGCCTCCCGAGTGCTGGGATTAAAGGCATGCGCCACCAATGCCCGGCCTTAGGTTTTTTTTTTTAATTATTATTATTATTAGTTGTAATGAATCTGGAGGGATGGCTGAGGGGCTAAGAACATATAGTACTCTTCCAAAGACCAGAGTTTGGTTTCCAGAGTCCACAGCAGTCAGTTCACAGTCACCTACTGAAACTCCAGCTCCAGGGCAATGCTCTCTTGGGCGCCTGCACTCACACATGCATTACCTACTCCCCCTCACAATCACACATAATCAAAAAATATTTTTAGATTTATTTATTTTATGTGTATGCTTTGTCTACATGTATGTATACACACTGGTTTGTGCCTGGTGCCTGCAGAGGTCTGAAAAGGGTATCAGATCCCCTGGACTGGAGTTACAGATAAGGTTTTGAGCCATCATATAGGTTCTGGGATCTGAACCCAGGTCCTCTGAAGGAGTAATAGTGCTTTACCCTTGAGCTATCTCTCAAGCCACCTTACACACACACACACACACATGCACACACACACACGCGCCATCCCCCCCCAAAAAAATTGTTCTGAGACAGAGTCCCACTATGTGTCCCCGGCTGGCCTGGAAGTCACAGAGATCTGCCTGCCTTTTTTGGGATTAAAGGTTCCCCCCACCACCACCACCTCCTTTATCTTTTCCTTAACCTAATTGTTTCCCCTTCTACAGCTATCCTTAGAGCTGCCATAAGGACTAAACTTTTCCCACTGATGCATAAATAACGTAACAGCTAATTTCCGGGTTTAAATAGCAAGGCTGATCCTGAAACTGTTTTCCACACACTGTTCTATATTTCAGGGAATTTAATGAAGAAAAGAAAGGAGTCAATAAAGACCCGTTCATCTATGAGGTATGTGCAGTTTATTTGGTTTTAATATAATGATCCTAAAATCAATGTTTTTTTAAAAATAATTTACATATGGTAAATTTTACCTTTTTAGGACAAAGTTCTATGAATTTTGACAAATAGCTTCAGAAGTGCAGCTACCCCATTATCAAAATGTAAACTATTTCCTGTCTAAAATTGTGCTCATGTCCCTGTGTAAGCATTTTTATGTCTCTAGTACCTGCAGCTGCCAATCCCTGAATATCAATAAATAAAATACAGTTTCTTAGCTTTGGTACTTTTTTTTCTCTGTCTCCTGCCTGCCTCTCCTCTCTCTCTCCTCTTTTTCTGTGTGAAGCAGGTTCCCACTGTGTAGCAAAGAGGGCTTTACAAGGCAGCACATCTTCAGTTGGACTTTGAGGAAGTGTGGACAGGTGGCGGATGTAAGCTAGATTTTCTTGTGTGTGCATGCACATGTGCCTGTAGGTTCATGTCAAGGTCAGAGTCAATGTTGGGTGTCCTCTTCAGTTGCTGTCCACCTTAGTTATTTTGTGACAGGGTCTCCTACTCAATCTAGAACTTCTTACTTGGCTGTACTGACTAGCCAGCAAACCTGAGTTTCTCCTGTCTCTGGCTCCTAAGTTATAGATACATGTGAAGGTGGGGTAATAATGAGTTCACTAGACCCAAGATAAATGATAAATGGTTGTTTTATTGGGGAACAAATTACACAGATAATAGTAAAGACCGCTGTGGTGTTCCTGCTCCAGAAGATGCAGTCTGCTCTTCTGATGGTTTCCGAGACCCAAGCACGAGTGCTGCGCCCTCTCCTCCCTTCTCTACCTTCAAGCAGTCACATCCACATCTAGAACCATACCCAAAAGGGTGTGGCCACTAACACAAATTCACTGGCAAGGCAAGATGCTACTACATACATGCCCTTGTGTTCAGCTTTACATGGATGCTAAGAATTGAGCTGAGGCCCCCATGCTTAAGCAACAATTTTCAAACTGATATATTTCCCAATCCTTAAGCTAGGTTTTCCAAACACGAGAAACGACCTGGCAAAATAAGGGAACCTTTTTAAACATGTTCTTTTTTTAGGAATTTGCATGCAGCTGGTCTGTAGTACTTAAATGACATGTAAAAACACTGCAGTCTCATTTTTAATAGGCTGATGTGCAAGTGCAGCTGATCAGCAAAGGCCAACCAAATCTTCTGAAAACTATTCTAAATGAAAATGACGCAGTGTTTCTTGTGGAAAAGGTGGTAAGTATTGGGCTTCGTGATTAGTTCTTGGTAGCTAAATTTGTTTCTTTCGGAATATTCTCACACTACATGTGTTCCTATTAGCATTAATGAAAGTGGACAGTAATTCTTTTAGGAGTAAGCGTGGTGCTATCTACTGGAAATGTAATGTCAACCACAGATATATACATATTTATACTTTTATAATAGATTCATTAGGAAAAAGAACAAAGCCAGGCATGGTTGCAAATACCTTTAATCCCAGCACTCTGGGAAGCAGAGGCAGGTCGATCTCATGAGAGTTCAAAGCCAGCCCAGCCTACATAATGAGTTCCAGGATAGCCAATGCTTCATAGTGAGACCCCCCACTCCCAATCTCAGAAACAAAACAAAACCAAAAAAAAAAAGAAAAGAAAAGAAATAAAATTGTCAATGAGTCATTCGAGCCCATTGGAAATATTAATAAATACTCCCTTTTGTAAATTACTGCTATGTGTATTCCATGGTATGGATATACCAAAATTTGATCCTTGAAGGGTATTTGGGTTGGTCTTGGTCTTTGGCTTTTATGTATAGAACTACTATAAAAGCACCAGAGAAATAGCTCAGTCGTTAAGAGCACTGACTGTTCTTGCAGAACTCGGGAGGCAGAGGCAGGCAGATCTCTGTGAGTTCAAGACCAGCCTGGTCTACAAGAGTGAATTCCAGGACAGCCTCCAAAGCCACAGAGAAACCCTGTCTCAACCCACCCCAAAAGGAAAAAGGAAAAAAAAATGCACTAATGCTCCTATCATTGTTGTCAAAAACAAGTTATGTAACTACCATATGGACATAGATATTAGATCCTTGTAACACAAGCGAGAGATGATAGCCCAAAAAAGAGTAAGTATAAAAAGTGAGGATGGGCAGTGTTGATGCACACCTTTAATCCCAGCACTTGGGAGGCAGAGGCAGGCAGATCTCTGTGAGTTCGAGGCCAGCATGGACTACAAAGCGAGTTCTGGGACAATTAGGACTATTGCACAGAGAAAATCTTTCTCGAAATCCTCCCCCCCCCCAAAAAAAATATGAGGGCTGGGGACTGGAAAGATGGCTAAGCCTTTAAGAGCACTGGCTGCTCTTCCAGAGGGCCCGTTTCAATTCCCATTGCCCACATGGAAGCTCACAGCTGTCTGTGACTCCTGTTTCAGGGAATATGACACCCTCACATAGACATAAATATGGGCAAAACAGCATGTACATAAAATACAAATAAATAATTTTTTTTTGAAAAAAAGTGAGGCCTAAAGCTAGGCAGTTGTGGTGTACATCTTTAGCCACAGAGAAACCCTGTCTGGAAAAACAAAAACAAAACAAAAAAAAAGCGAGGTACATCTTTAGTCCCAGCACTTGGGAGACAGAGGCAGGTGGATCTCTGTGAGTTTAAGGCCAGCTTTGTCTACAAAGTGAGTTCCAGGACAGCCAGGGCTACAAAGAGAGACCCTGTCTCAAAAAACAAACAAAAAAAATTGAGGGCTATGGCTGAGTGTGGTACTTTATACCTGTAGTCCCAACATGTGGAGCTTGTACCCAAATAAATAAATAAAAGGTAAAATTGAGGGCTGTGTACTCAAAGCTCATATCCCATCAACAGTTTGTTCCAGGTGGGAAATGAAAATATCTAAATATCTGAGATCAGACTAGATCGGGCGTGCTCAGGGTGGTATGGCCATAGACAAAAATATCTAAATATCTGGGCATCTCTTGGGTCTCCTGTGGTATTTTACCTTTAGCTTAGCATACTGTGCATGTAAGAGCATTTTTCTAATGTCATCAGATGCTTCCTTTACAAGTAGCAACTAAAATCTGGAGTTGGAGAGATGGCTAAGGGCACTCTTTCAAAGGAATTGGGTTCGATTTGCAGTATCCAAATGGCAGCTCACAACTGTCTATAACTCCAGTGCCAGTGCTCTTCTTAAATGCTCCCTGTGTAGTTATTTGACTCTTGCATCTGATTAAATTATTTGTAACATTTTTAAAGCTTTTGGAGAAGGAAGAAACAAGTCATGTTGAAGAACCACAGTCTGAAGAAACTGCTATTTCTGATTTCTCTACTGGTGAAAATGTTAGGCCACTGGCCTTGCCAGTTGGCAGAGCAAGGTAAGTCTTTCATTTGTTTGTTTTGTTTTTATAAGTTTACAGTTAGGGATAGAAGCAAGGATTGAAACATTGCTGTAGCTAAGGATGTAGCTCGGTATGTAGACCGATTAGCATACATGAAGCCCTGGATCTGAGCCCCAGCACTGCATAAAAGCACACATGGTGACACACACCTCTAATCGTAGCCCTTGGGAGACAGAAGAAGGAGGATCAGAAGATCAAAGTCATCTTTTGACTATTAAATAAGTTTTCAGTAGCTTGACTACATGAGACCCTGACTCAAATGGAAAAAAAGTATTTGTAGCATTCGGCATTCATACAGACATTGAAAAACTTGCACCTGGCCCTGAGATATCTACCTTCCCCTCAGATATGTATGCCTAGTCCTCTGAGGATAGTGCTATTTAGATATCCCGTAGGTGTCCTGAATAGGACCTCCAAGACTGCAATCACCTTCCCCTTTTCTACCTCACTGTATTTCTGTTGCTTCTTAATTGTTTGCCTGAATCTATCTCAGTCCCCTTCCAGTCTCTCTTCCTCCGTATTACCAGAGTTATTTTTATAAAATGAAAGCATGATTGTGTTGCTTTGATACTTAAAAAATCCTGTATAGGTTCTTCATTGCCTTAATGGTAAAATCCAAGGTCTTCATGCTTCATACATGGGAATCTTCATTTTCTAACCCCAAAGGTTCTCCTCCAGGGGTGCTCTAGGTTGGTTTTCAAACTATTCAGGAGTGTTTTTAGGTGTCACAATCAATAGAACTCTGAACATATAGTGGGCATCTGTCCTACAGAACATGAATTTTCATATCCAAGAAATCAGTATGCTTCCAAAACATACATCTTTGCCTCTTAAACTTCCTTTCTTGCCTTCTTGCTGTGTGCATATGTAATGGCCCTTGCTACCTGCAAACCCAAGTGTTTGCCTTCAAGGAATTCTAAAGAATAGAGTCCTAAGAATTTTAACATTATGGAGCAACAAGTGCTGACACTTTTCACAACAATAATATGCCTTTATGCTCGTTTTTACCCTCCATACACACATAGAAGTTTATAACCTCACATCTTTAATCCCAGCACTCGAGAGGCAGAGTTATGCAGATCTCTGTGAGTTTGAGGCCAACCTGATCTACAGAGTTCCAAGATAGCCAAGGCTACACAGAGAAACAAACATTGTCTCAAAAAACCAAAAATAAAAAAGTTTATAATTTTTTATATTGGTTATAAGTTTTCTTTCCTGGCTCATTGGGCTATAGTCATAATGTGGCCTCTTTTCTAGAACTTGAACATTATTTGGTTTTCTTCTGCCAATATTTTTCGGTTATTTGTGACTATGTTCCTGTGGAAAGAAATATCCATGGATATGCAGGCCAGATGACAACCTAAGGTGTTGTTTCTTAGGTGTAGTTCAGGGCCTTTTGTTGCCTTGAACTTGCCAAATAGGCTGGGAGGGCTGACCTGATTCCAGGGTCCCCCTGTCTTCTCTCCAGTGCAGGATTAGAAACTGCATGAATCATTGACGCCCAACTTTTATTTTTATTTATATGTTTAATCTATTTGTATATGTGTGTATATGCTACCTGCATGTGGGTGCCTGTGGAGTTCAAAAGAGGTAGTCAGATTTCCCTGGAGCTGGAGTTACAAGCAGTTATGGACCACTGGACATGGCCACTGGGAACCAAAGATCCTCTGGCAGAGCAACAAATGCTCTTAACCCATAAGCTATTATCTCCAGCCTTATGTATGCATTATAACATGGATTCTGGAGATGGAACTCAGGTCCTTCTGCTTGCAGGGCAAGCACTTTATCTATCAACTAAGCTGTCTTCCTGACCCTGTCATTTCTTGGCTTTCTTTTCTTCCCCCCCTCTCTTTAATTTATTTAGTGTGTATACAGTGTTCTGTCTGCATATATTCATGAAGGCCATAAGAGGGCACCAGATCTCATTACAGATGGTTGTGAGCCACCATGTGGTTGCTGGGAATTGAACACAGGAACCCTGGAAGAACAGCAGTGCTCTTAACTGCTGAGTCATCTCTCCATCCCTCATTTCTTGGTTTTCTATTTCTTCATACCTTAAATACGTTCTTAAAATTTTTGTGCTTTCTTTTTTGAAGTCCAATGCCTTAGAAATTCCCTTCTTGACTCCAAAGCCACAGAGAAACCCTGTCTCGAAAAACCAAAAAAAAAAAAAAAAAAAAGAAATTCCCTTCTTGAATATCTGATAGTAAATTGTTTCTATCTTTGAAAAATATAAATTTAAGCTTCATTTCTTAGTTTACCTTTAATTTTGATATATATATTTTTAATTTCCAGTGGTAGAGCCGGGCGTTGGTGGCGCGCGCCTTTAATCCCAGCACTTGGGAGGCAGAGGCAAGCGGATCTCTGTGAGTTCGAGGCCAGCCTGGTCTACAAGAGCTAGTTCCAGGACAGCCTCCAAAGCTACAGAGAAACCCTGTCTCAAAAAAACCAAAAAAAAAAAAAAAAAAATTCCAGTGGTAGAGAGACTTTCTCTATACCTTAATATACATTTGCCAGTTCATGTTTTTTCATTTTTCCCTTTCAACAAATACAAATTTATATATGCAAAGCAGTATATGGTACATTTGTACCATATAACATGTACTGTTATCATGTTGTCATAATTATGTATATAACTTTAAATTTGTTTTTAATTATGCAGGTGTGTGTTTGTGAGAGTGGGGTATATGCATGTTAGATCTCTGTGGATGCCAGACTTGTTAGGTCCCATTGTTGCTGGAGTTAGAAGCAGTTCTAAGCCACCTAGTGTTGGTGCTAGGAACTGAAATCTGGCCATTTGCAAAAGCAATACATGTTCTTAACTGCTGAGCCTCTCCTAGAGTTGTAACTATTAGAGTATGTAGTATATCTTGTTACTTACTGAAATATGTAAACATACATGTATTCATGCATTTTATCACTTCATTTCTAGATTGTGAGTGGTGCTGGAAATTGAACTCAGGGTTTCATACATGCCAAGCATATGCTCTCCCACTGAGCCATACTTTCAGCTTCAAAGATAATCTGTAATTGGTATTTTATAATTGGTTCTATCCATTATTTTCAAGGCAGTTAATTGGGCTTTATACCATGGCTCACAATCCTAATATGACCCACTTGAAGATTAAGCAGCCAGTTACTGCCCTTCCTCCTCTTTGGGTGAGATGTGACAGCTCAGATCCTGAAGGTACCTGTTGGCTAGGAGCTGAGCTTATCACAGCAAATGACATCATTACAGGAGTTGTCTTATATGTGGTCACTTGTAAAGGTGAGTGCTCAGTCTTGGTATATTTATTTGCATAGTTGTTTTGTGGTACTCCTGGACTTCCATATAGGAGGGAAGTGTGATGTGGAGCATTGAACTTTCAGTGTGTACTTAATATCAGAGAGGAGGTATTGCAGAAACTTCTGAAAGTCTAGATAGATTATGCATGCTTTGTTTGGGTTTAAATTAATTTGTGCTTTTTTTAATTTAAAAAATTAAAAACCAGACTGTAACTAGAATGTAATTCTATTTTTACCTTTTTGGAAGGGGTGGACTGAGGCAAAGTTGGCCTTGAACTTATTATTGTTTGCTTTAGCTTCTGTGATTCTACCTGAATAACACCATCCAGACTTTTTTTTTTTAAGATGTGAGTTCTTTGCAGGCTAGTCTTGACCTTATGGGCTCAAAGGAGACTCCCATTTCAGCCTCCCAAGCAGTTGAGACTACAAATCCTTGCCAGTGTGCCTAGCTTTTTATATTCCATATATGTTTGTGATTACACATTTGTTGTTTGTTTATTGCAGAGTGTCTAATAGCCCAGTCTGAGCTCAATTCAATATCCTTCTGCCTCAGCCTCCAGAGTAGCTAAGATTTTAGATTTGAGTTTCCATGCTTGACTTTAATTATGTTCTTTTTTGAAACAAGGTATCACTGTGTAGCCCTGGTGGGCCTGAATTTAGTACATAGACTAGAGTGGTTTGGAACTCAAAGAGATCTACCTGCCTCTGTCTGTCTCTTTTTTAAAATAATTTATTTTTATTTTTATTTCATGTGCATTCATGTCTGGCCTGCATATATGCCTGTGTAAAGGTGTCAGATCCCCTGGAACTGGAGTTACAGTTGTGAGCTGCCATGTGGGTGCTGGAATTGAACCCAGGTCCTCTGGAAGCGCAGCCAGTGCTCTTAACTGCTGAGTCTCTGTCTTTGAGTGCTAGGATTAAAGGCACTAGTTATTATGTCCCCTTCCCCCAATCCATGCCAGACCCTCTCCCCCATCTCCCTAGCCACCCAACTCCCCTTTCTTTCTCTGTTTATCTGTTTAACACTTTTGTTTGGTTTTGGTTTTCTTTTTTTTTTTTTTTTTTTTTTTTGGTTTTTTGAGACAGGGTTTCTCTGTATTGTTTTGGAGGCTGTCCTGGAGGCTGTCCTGGAACTCGCTCTGTAGACCAGGCTGGCCTCCAACTTACAGAGATCCGCCTGCCTCTGCCTACCGAGTGCTGGGATTAAAGGCGTGCGCCACCAACGCCCGGTGGTTTTGGTTTTCTTGAGATGAGATCTCACTGTACAGCTCTGGCTATCTTGGAACTCACTCTGTACACCAGGCTGGACACAAACTGAAAGAGATCTACCTGTCTCTATCTACCTCCTGAGTGCTGGGAGGTAAGGCCTGTGCCACCATTGCCTGGCATAACTTTCTACTTTTGTTTTGTTTTGTTTTTAGATATACTTATTTGTGAAACTCAGGGCCAGGCAATCACCTGATTGTAAGACCAACCAGAACTATACTGTGAGCTGCTATCTCCAAAAGAAAGAAATAGATACACTTATTATGTATTCAGTGTGTTGTCTGCATGTATGCATGCAGGCCAGAAGAGGGCAACAGAGCCCACTATAGATGGCTGTGAGCCACCATGTAGTTGCTGGGAGTTGAACTCAGGACCTCTGGAAGAGCAGCCAGAGCTGTTAACTACTCTGCCATCAATCCAGCCCCCAACTTTCTAGTTTTAACAGTATAATTTGAATTTAATCTTTCCTTTTTTAAAAAATTTCATGTCCTGTAGCTGATAAAAATTACTCTGAAGATCTGGAAAATCTAAAAAATTCACACAAGAAAAGACATCACTTGTCTGCTGTGAGTATTTGTCTTGTTAGCTTACTTAACACAAATATTGATTAATCTTCCTTCCTAGCATAACAGCTTTCTTCTCACTTTCACTATGACTAGATGTTTCTCTGTAGTGTCAGAGTATTTGTATTTATGTTCTAACAGCCAGGGCACAGTTATTCTTTGGTATCTTTGGGGTTGGTCGTAGACTCATGCTCAAGTACTAAAATCTGTGTGCTTGAGGTTCAAGGTTGGCAGACTCCTTAGATGTAGTACCCACATACTTTATACTATATATGTGCAATGTTAGTTGCTTAAAAGAATTGTCTTATATTTTCATTTAGGATGACAGTGTCATATATGGTTGTTTTTTGTTGTTGTTGTTGTTGTTGTTTTTCTTTTGGGACAGAAATCAAAGTGATTTTAATAATGGTTTGGTTGTATGAAGTTGTTGCTAATGATCTTCCTATGACCTGACCTCAGGTAACAGCCAGAGGATTTGCCCAATATGAGCTCTTTAAGTCCACTGACTTGGATGATATTGTTACCCCATCACAAACTACAGTCACTTTGGATCTTTCCTGGAGTCCTGTGGATGATATTCTTCAAACCCCTCCTCTGTCTTCAACTGCAGTTCTGGTAGGAATGGACTCTGTCTTCTCTTTAGGTTACTCAGGCTCCTGACTGGTTTACTTGTTAATTGCTAATGCTGTATGACAGTCACTAGTTGCTAGGCTGTACCACTTAGAAAACCTTCACTGGCTTCCAGGGTCTCTCTTAGTAAATAGCCAATGGAGGTTTTGCCTAGTAAGCTGTGCTGTCAGTTGCTCGTAACCCTGATACTTTGGAATTTTACTTTCAAGAGATGAATAAGGTCTCTTGTGTGGGAATTCAAGGGGGAGTTGGCTTCTTTCTCTTCCTGGGCACAATGGCACATGCTTTAATCCCAGCACTTGGGAGTAAGAGGCAGGAGGATGTCTGTGAGTTTGAGGCCAGCCTGGTCTACATAGTGAATTCCAAGACAGCCAAGCTACATAGTGAGACCCTGCCTCCAAAAGAAACAATAAAAGAAAGAAAAGAAAAGAACTTAAAATTGCTAATAAAACCCAAAAAATTAGTATAAGATACTTGTTGTTATATAGCTAAGATCTCAAAGTATTAAGAACAGAACCTGCTGAGCATTCAGTTTAAAAAATGGTGAAAATGGTTTTAAAAAGTATGTATGCTTTTAAAATTAAATTTATTTTTGGTATTGGAGAATGACTCTAAGTCTTGTATATAACATAATAGGCAAACATCCTCCCACTGATCTATGTCCCCAGCTAACCCCCTTTTTAAGATTTATTTCAATGATTTTTAATTATGAGTATATTTGTGTGAATGCAGGTGCCTGCAGAAGCCAGAGGTGTTGGATTCCCCTAGTTCTGGAGTTAGAAGTGATTGTGAGCTTCCCAGCACTGGAAATCTAACTTAGAATCTCTGCATGAGCAGTATATGCTCCTAACTATTGAACCTTATCTCCAGGACAACACCCCTATGCCTACACTGAGCCCCCTTTTTTTACTTAAAAAAAAAAAGAGGCAGGCCATGTGGCACATTCCTTTAATCCCAGTGTCAAGTATGTTCTCTGAGAGTTCCAGGGCAGGCAATATAATGAGACGTAGTCTCTTATTAAGTTTCCCAAGGTTGGCCTTAAACTTGCTCCTTAATCCAGAATTGTAACAAGAGGTTCACAGACTGGCCTATAATTTGTGACTTCTTGCCTTAGCATCCAGAGTAACTGGGATTATAGATTTGCAGCACCAGGTTTGGTTCTTTTACAGGTGAGACAAGTAAGTTTTAGGACAGCCTGGTCTACACAGCTAATTCTAGGAAAGCCAAGGCTACACGCACATGCACACACACCATAAAACCCATGTTTTCCTTTTGGGGGGAAAAAGTTATGTTTTAAAAGTCTGGGCCCTAGACTTTGTGGCTTGGGGATAGGTATTTTAAAAGAACAGGAAATGCTTATTAAACAAAAGTTAAAAAGAAGTATACAGAATAACTTGTACAACTGTAGATGTCAAGTATGTTTTTTTTTGTTTTTGTTTTGGTTTGTTTTTGTTTTTGTTTTTTGTTTTTTTGTTTTTTGTTTTTTGAGACAGGGTTTCTCTGTGGCTTTGTACCCAGAAGCCTGCATCATATTAGCAGTGGTTCTCTTGGAGGGTAGGATTGTGGGTAATTATATTCATGCTTTTCTTTTCTGTAATGGAAATTTACTTGATTGTTTTTAAGCATTTAAGGTTGTAAAACTGTAGCTTCTGGCTAGATTAGTGTTAGTGTGTTGGTTTAGCTGGGAGTCTAATACAGTTACTTATTGAAACTTGTTTTCAATGTGTCATAACTCTGAGTATCAATGAGCTTTTGAGCGATTTATTTAAATTTTTTCCACCTGTGCTCTTGGAAATTCTTTGAGGGAAGCAGTTGCTCCATCTTCAAGGTACAGAGGAGGGCAGTGGCCTGATTGAGGTTGTGTATCAGGATGGCTGGATCTGTAAGATCTCATGGTAAGAGGTTCTGAGTATGACGTGGGCCTAATTTAATTTACTAGTGTTTTACAAAACTTGTAATTGAAATGCAAGTCACATTGATTCATGGACAGAGAAGACGGTGTTGCCAATGAAAACTGATGGTCTTTGATACTTTTTAGAATATCAGAGTACAATCAGGAGAGCCCAGAAGTTGTTTGATTCATCTCCACAGGGAACTGAAATTTCTCCTTGTGAGTATCATTCTGGAATTTCTTTTGTTGAATTACACATTGTCATGATAATGTTTCACAATAAAACTTTGATTTTCTTTAAAATCTGTTTTAAATGTTACATTTCATTATACTGTTTACAACTTGGACAGTTACTTATGTGGTAGTTGTTGTAAGATTTATTTTTATGTGCATTGGTGTCTCATCTACATGTATGTCTGTGTGAGGGTGTTGGTTCCCCTGAAACTGGAGCTACAGGCAGTTGTGCACTGCCATGTGGGTGCTGGGAATTGAGCCTGGGTCCTCTGGAAGAGCAGCCAATGCTCTTAACTGCTGAACCATCTTTCCAGCCCCCACAATTAGTTTTTCAACATTTTCATCTCTCCTAAATGAAACCTTATAAATTCATAGTATGGTTTAGCATTCACTTCACAACCTTGCCAGCCTTTGGCAACCATTAATCTACTTATAGGGTTTTGTTATTTTGACTGTCAAATAGCATCTCATTGTATGGATGCACTGCATTTTATTCATCCTATCATCAGCTGATAAAAATTTTAATTTTTTGTACTTTTTGGCTATTAGGAATAATATTGATGTGAACATTTGTACACGTTTTTGTAGGAACATATGTTTCCTACATTTCTGGTGAAATTGCTAGGTTATATGGCAACTATGTTTAAGCCATCCTTTCTCCTGACACACCACACACACGCACACACACACACATCCGTGATTGTGTGTGTGTGCGTGTATCTATGATCTTTTCAAATTTAATCCTTGTATCTCATAAATGGATGTAATTTTTTATTCTTATGCATCTCTGCCCTCTTTCCTCTGTACTCTTCTTTTTGTCCTTTGTCTGTCCTCTTTTTTTTTGCCTTTTAAAATTATATTTTATTTATTTGTTGTACCAATCAGTTACAGCCCTTTCACTTCCATCTGACACACTCTCAAGATCATGCATTGTTTCTCAATAGAGACTGTTGGCATTTCACCTTTTCCATTCTTTGTGATTTGGACCATCTTACCCATAGCAATATGTTAAACATCCCTGACTTCCACCAAGTTATTTTGACACATAAAAAATTATATTAACCTTTGTCTGGTCAGCTGTTTCTGGGGGTTAAACCAGCCCAGTCTTAATCCCTTTGATCATCAGTCCTCCCTCTCTGTTACTGGCTTTCTTGAGTTCAGCTCAGTACTTAACCAAGGGAGTCTGCCTCTTCTTCGATCAGCCACTAAATAAAGTTTCTGTTTCCCAGACTCTCTGGCCATAGGATTGTAGGCTGGCACTCCCCAGATCTATGTCTAAAATCCATATATATGAGAGAGTACATGCCATGTTTCTCTTTTTGTGACTGGGTTACCTCACTCAGGATGGTTTCTTCTAGTGTCGTCCATTTGCCTGCGAATCTCATGATTCCATTATTTTTTTCTGCTGAATAGTACCAGCATGGGACTGATCAAGACCCCCTGAATCTGGGTGTCAGTGAGGAGGCCTAGGGAATCTATTGAGCCTTGGGCAGCAGATCAGTACCCATCCCAAGTATACACACGGACTTTGGACTCCCATAGAACAATGTGAGGTGCACTCTCACCCGAACTCTTGGGGAAGGGTCTAGGCCCTGCCCTATATGAAATGACAGACTATGCACACCCCCATGGAGGGCCTCACCCTCCCTGGGGAAATGAGGGGGATAACGGGGGGGGGCTCGGGAGGAAGGGAGGGAATGGGAGAGGGACCTGGAACTGACTTGTGAAGCAACCTTGTTTCTTATCCAAATTTAAACTGGAAAATAAAATTAAAAAAAAATTATATTCACCTTTTTTCATAAACCCTCTGGAAGTAGAAAATTACCTCTTTTCTGTTGAAAAACATTTTTCTTTTCTCTGGAAATAAAGAAATTGCTAACTTGATCCTGTCATTTTATTGTTACAAAGTGAATGAATGATGGATATCATCTCTCATATAAAGAAAAAAAAAACTTGTGAAGTTTCTCAGTCTTTTGGTAAATTTGTCCTCTTCCTTCTGTTTCCTGCTGTTTGTTCACTCTGGTTGAAGTCATCCCTCATGATCTTCCTCCTCCTCATTCCCTGCTGTAGGGTCTGCTTAGATTTTGATGTGTGCATGCGTGTGTAATTATATTGTGTTTGGATAATTCAGTTTCACATTTGTGGTTTCATGTTACTTCACCTGTTGTGTCTGTGTACATAGCATTAGAGATGAGAATACCACTCTTAGAATCAGCCTGCTGGATATGTATCCTGTACTGTTCGTTAGTAACTGTGTGATACTCAACTAGTTACTGAAGCTTTCTTAGCCTCCATAGAATGAGGATAAAAAGCCGGACATTGGTGTGGCACACGCCTTTAATTCCAGGGAGGCAGAGGCAGGCAGATGTCTGAGTCTTTGAGGCCAGCCTGGTTTACAGAGCAAGTTGCATGACAGCTCCAAAGCAAATCAGAGAAACCCTGTCTCAAAAAAAAAAAAAAAAAGCAAACAAACAAAACACAATAAATGGAATGAGGATAGTAGAAGTACCTACCTCAGAAAGTTTTGTTGGGATTAAATAACACACTACATACAAAATCCTATGACAGTGCCTAGCAAGTGGTCAATAGTCAAGAACTGTTACCATAAGGCTGGAGAAGGGGCTCATTGGTTAAGAGCACTTGTTGCTCTTCCCGAGGACCTGGGTTTGATTCCTAGTACCCACGTGGTGCCTCATAACCATCTGTAACTCCATTCCCAGGTTATCCAATTACCTCTTTTGAACTCTGAAGGTACCAGGCACTTATGTGGTGCACAGACATACATGTAGGCAAAAAAAATTTTGTTTTAAAGAACTACCTTAATTGATACTATTAAATACATCCATATTAATTAAGCTGTGATTTCTGTTTTTTTTTTTTAAGATTTATTTGTTTATTGCATATACAGTGTTCTGCCTACATGCCTGAAGAGGGCACCAGATTGAATTGTAGATGGTTGTGAGCCACCATGTGGTTGTTGGGAATTGAACTCAGGACCTCTGGAAGAGCAGTCAGTGCTCTTAACCTCTGAGCCATCCCTCTAGCCCATAAGCTATGATTTCTGCTAACATGTTTTCTGACTGTTAAATTTTTCTACAGGTTTTGGCTGATGGCTTGAGGACTGGTGTAACTGAATGGCTTGAACCTCTGGAAACAAAATCTGCTGTTGAACTTGTACAAGAATTTCTGAATGGTGCTTGTTTTCATAATCTATTCTTGTTTGTTGCTTGTTTTTTGAGTACATATGCTTACTGTATTTTAATATCAGTTGTCCATGACCTTATATAGCTTTGAGTTAGAATACATTAAAGCTGGGATCTGATCTAGTTGGAGGGACAGCGTTTGTTCTAAGTATTAACGATAGATGTTATTATTAAAATTATAAGATTTAGTTTGAGCTAAGCCTGGCAACACAGGCATGTAATCCTAGCTAGTTGAGAAGCTGAGGCAGGAGAATTGTTACCTAGAGCTACAGAGTGAATTCAGTACCAAGCTAGGCAACTTAGTGAGACTTTGTCATAAAATAAATAAATACAAGAGTAAAAAGAGAGCCGGGCGTTGGTGGCGCACACCTTTAATCCCAGCACTCGGGAGGCAGAGGCAGGCGGATCTCTGTGAGTTCGAGACCAGCCTGGACTGCCAAGCGAGTTCCAGGACAGCCTCCAAAGCCACAGAGAAACCCTGTCTCAAAAACCAAAAAAAAAAAAAAAAAAAGAGTAAAAAGAGGACTGGGGATGTAGCTCAGTGGTGGAGCACTTGACAACTGTACTTGAGTTCCTAGATTTGATCAGGCTTCTGGACTGCAAAAAAAAGAGACCATTTACATGGAAATTCATGTAGCACAGGTGGGTTTCAGATTGTAGGAGAATGATGAGACAGTATCTGAGTGTCTGCCATGTGCTTGTCATCTTCTTGTACCCCTGCTTGAAGATTAGCTATCATTGTGGTAGTTTGCTCAAGTCCCACTTTACTCCTACTGTTCTTATTTGCTTGCTTGAAAACAGGATTTGGATGGAAATAAAATCAAGTTAATTAGCCTTTCCTACTTTCTAGACTTAAATAAACCGGATGAATTTGATGATTCTACAAAAAAAGACATACAAAAAGAGGTAAGCTATTACTATCAGTTAGAAACTTGGGCTCAAGAGATGGCTCAATGGTTAAGAGCACTGGCTACTTTTCCAGAAGATCCCAGTTCAGTTCCCAACACCCATATAGCAACTCACAACTGCCTGTAACTCCAGTTCTAGAGGATCTGACACCCTCACACAGACATACATGCAGGGAAAACATCAATACACATAAAATAAGAATAAGTAAATCATTTTAAAATGTTTTAGGGGCTGGAGAGATGGCTCAATGATTAAGAGTACTGACTGCTGCTCTTCCGTAAGTCCTGAGGTCAGTTCCCAGCAACCACATGGTGGCTCACAGCTATCTCTAGTGGATCTGATGTGCATAGATGTGTACATGCAGATAGAGCATTCATCTATAAAATAAATCTTTTTTTTAAATTTCTAAAAAGAAACTTACTCTGCTTTTGAAATTTGGTGTACTGCTACCTTTGGTTTTGTAGCATCTCAGATCTCCTTCCATCTGTATTTGTTTTTGTTAGTTAGCTGCAGAGAGTAGAAATAGTTACATTAATAATACACTGTAGAGAGTACTGCTATAGTATATGAATACAACTTAAAATGCTGTTGCCATACCATAATGTGGCATTATGAAACTAAGATACTTCCCATCTGATGAAAAGGAAATGGAGACGAAAGGAACTTAATATTTTCATGTGGAAAGAAAACTGAGCTTGCTTTTAGGCAGTGAAGTTTTGCTGTTATTTAGTGTTAGATTTTTGTTTTGAGACAAAACATAGCTTAGGCTAGCTTCAAACTCATTTTACTTCTGCCTCAGCCTCCTGAGTGCTGCCTGGCCTTTATGGGTCTGATCCACCACCATGTCTGATTAGGCATTACAGATTTAAAACAACTTTAAGACTATTATTTTACTCTATCTAAGTATGTCTCCTTATAAGTAAATGAAATTCTGTGGAAAATATCATTTGTATAATTCTTTGTATGTGTTCATGTCTTCACAGCTCTCAGAACAGTGTTTAAAACTTAAACTATTTCACTTTAAAAGTAAATAAACTGAGTGTTCTCTGAAGTTTGCTTCTTTTTCAGATGGTGAACCATGATGCAGCTGCAGTTGACAGGTCTGTGCTTATCACAGTGCGGGGGGATCTCGATTTTGCTGAACAGCTTTGGTGCAAAATGAGCAGCAGTATGTATCCATCATAATTTTAGTGCGCTTTTGTTTGTTTAACGTTCTTTTTTTTTTTAATTTTATGTGTATCAGTGTTCTGCCTGCATGTATGTCCACATACCACATGAGATCAGCCTGCTTGCACAGGCCAGAAGGCAACTTCAAATCCTCTGGAACTAGTTATAGATGGTTGTGAGCCACCATGTATAATCAGAGGTTTCTCTCCCTTTCTTTGTTCACAAATAACCATTCAGAGGCTGAATATGAATTATTCCTCAGCCAATAACTCAGGCTTATTACTAACTGGCTCTTATTATAACTTAACCCATTTCTATTAATCCATGTATTTATTGCCCCAAAGCTTGTGGCCTTTGCCTCTCTCAGTTTGTATATCTGATTTGTTCTTCATCTGCCTGGCAACTACTCTCACTCCGCCCTTCTTTATCTCATCGTCTGAGTTTGGCTTTCCCATTTAGCTTTATTCTGTTCTGCTTTTGGCCAGTCAGCAACAAATCTTCACAGTGTACTAAAGGATTTCCCACAGCAACCATGTAGGTGCTGGGAATTGAAACCCAGCACTATAGAGGCAAAGGCAGATGAATCTCTGAGTTCGAGCCCAGAATGAACTACATAGTGAGTTCCAGTACAGCCAGATATTCACAGGGAAACCCTATCTTGAAAAAAAAAAACAAAAAGTTTGTGTTAACACATCCAACTTCTCATGCCTTTAAAATATAAAACTTGTGACAGGTGTTGGTGGCACACACCTTTAATCCCAGCACTTGGGAGGCAGAGGCAGGTGAATCTCTGTGAGTTCGAGGCCAACCTGGTCTACAGAGCGAGTTCCAGGACAGCCTCCAAAAAACAATACAGACAAACTCTGTTATTTATTTATTTATTTTTGGTTTTTACGAGACAGGGTTTCTCTGTATTGTTTTGGAGGTTGTCGGTCCAGCCTGGCCTCGAACTCACAGAGATCCGCCTGCCCTTGCCTCCCGAGTGCTGGGATTAAAGGCGTGCACCACCACCACCTGACGAGCTATGTCTTTTGTGTTTTTGTTTTTTTTTTCCCTCCCACTTTAAATCCCCCCTTTCACCACTAACATCAGGGGTTTTGCTTATTTCGTGTGCATGTCATTAAAATGGGTACTTTTTTTTTTTGGTTTTTTTTTTTTGGTTTTTTTTTTGGTTTTTTTTTTTTTTTTTTTTTTTTTGGTTTTTCGAGACAGGGTTTCTCTGTGGCTTTGGAGGCTGTCCTGGAACTAGCTCTTGTAGACCGGGCTGGCCTCGAACTCCAGAGATCCGCCTGCCTCTGCCTTCCCTAGTGCTGGGAAAATTGGTACTTTTGATCAGTAGAGATGTGGAAATAATTTCTGTGTGACTTGGTTTTCTTGGCCTCAAACTCATGTGATTTGGTTTTCAAGGTGTGGTTTCATATCAAGACTTGGTGAAGTGTTTCACATTGATCCTGCAGAGTCTGCAGCGTGGTGACATACAGCCTTGGGTAGGTTGAATCACTTTGTAACTGGAATGTTTTACTCAGTGTCATATGCAAACCAAATCAAACCAACAAAAGGAATTGATAAAACACTGGATCAAACAATATGAGTTGAACTCCAACTGTACTACTTTGGTTTTGGTTTTGGTTTTTTGAGACAGGGTTTCTTTGTGTAGCCCTGGCTGTCCTGGAACTTGATCTGTAGACCAGGCTGGCCTCAAACTCTCAGAGATCTGCCTGCCCCTGCCTTCTGAGTGCTGGAATTAAGGTGTGCACCACTACACCCGGCTAACTCTGGTACTTTCCAGTTGTGTGAACTTGGCCTCCTTTACTTTTCTATACCTAAGTGCCCTCATTTGCAATGTGAAGACTGGAATCTACCTGCATCATAGTGTTGTGTAGGGGTGAATTGATCTAATACATACATAGTACTTAGTGCCTTGCACATATAAATTGCTGATATTGTTAACTGTTCTGGGAATGAATGTTTTCATAGGCCACTAATGAGATTTACAAACTAAGATGCTCTTTTTCAAAGCAGTTTTGATGATGACTTGAGATTCTCCAAATGTAATATGATCTTTGAACCAATAATACTTGTGTTAGGATCTACTTTTCACTCATGCACCAAAATAACATACCAAGACTATAACTGTTGTAGCACATGCCTGTAATCCCAGCATTTGGGAAGCAGAGGCAGGACAATCACATGTAGAGATCAGCCTGGGCTGTGTCATGAGACTGTCTCAAAAACCAAAAACAAAATGAACAAAAAAAAAAAAATAGATGTTTGTCTGTCAGAGTAGTTCTCTATTTTGTTTATAGGAGCCAAAAACAGCAAATGATGCACATTTCTCTTGTTGATGAGATGACTAAGTAGCAATAATGTAGCCATATGGTGTGTGTAATAGCTGCTAAAGCAGGGTTAATGACTGTATAAAATGTAAATTTTGAAAAGAACAAATAGTCTGAAACCAGATGGACTAAATTCTCAGTAACAGCCATGTGTGGGAGAAGCCTTACAAATGACTATGCTCTCTGCACTTGAACTTTCTGTCACTGTTTGAATTTTCCACTGAACAAAAAGCAGTTAGAGCTGGGCAGTGGTGGCACAGGCCTTTAATCCCAGCACTTGGGAGGCAGAGTGTGCTCCAGGACAGGTTCCAAAGTTACAGAGAAACCCTGTTTTGAAAAAACTAAAACAAAACAAAAAAACCCCAAAGAACAAAAAGCAAATTTAAAGTTAGAAATATACTATTTGGAACCATTTTAAAGAATGTAGCTCTCAGTTCATCGTGGTAAAAGTTAGAATTGTGAGTGATGTACAGAAGTTTAGTAGAGATGCCCAGTGATTCTGAAATCACTAGGAAGAGTCTTAGTTGAAAAGCTTCAAAGGACCAGCGCTGACTTCTCATTGGTAAAACTGAGTTTACCACTTTTAGACCTTCCTTGGTTGCTTTGGATTTTCAACACAAGTGATGTAGGAATGGTTGTTTTTTTATTTTTGTTTGTTTTAATAAAAATAGGGTATCAAGCTGAGGACGACTGAGACTTTGAATTTCTGGTGCACATGCCTCTTATTTTCATAGTGCTGGAGTTACAGACATGAGCCACCACTCCCGTGTTCATTAGGTGCTGGGGATGGAACCCAGAGCTTTGGGCATGCTAGACAAGCAAGCACTAATGCAATAGCTCCAGCCAGGAATGGCATCTTAGAAACTCAGGGTAACTTGGAGGCTTTTATTAAAACAATTTATAGTGTTAGGAGGCTGAAAATTGTAATTTTGAACTCCTAGTCTTCTTTTGCTTGTTACATTAATTTGTGCTTAAATTTAAGAATGTGTAAACTTTTTTCTATTTCTAGCTGCACAGTGGGAGTAACAGTTTACTAAGTAAGCTCATTCATCAGTCTTACCATGGAGCCATGGACTGCATCCCTCTCTCTGGAACTACTCCACTTCAAATGCTTTTGGAAATTGGTTTGGACAAATTAAAGAAAGATTATATCAGTTTTTTTGTCAGTGAGTACTTTTTCCAACTTGAAAACCTTTCAGTTGCCCCCATAAATACTCTTAGATTTTTACCTTCCTAATCATTGTCAGTCTGGCCTTGCCCATTGACTGTGAGACATTTGATTTATATATATATACATACATATATATATACATATATATATATATGGTTAAATAGAGCTATAGTGTTCATTTTTTGCTTTTAGGTATGAGGTTTTGTTTGCTTTTTTGTTGTTGTTGTTTAGTTTTTTAATGTGGTGTGGTAGGGCATCCGTGCATGTGGAGATGGGAAGACACCTTGCTGGAGTCAGTTCTTCCTTGTACTGTGAAGATCCCAGGATCTAGCTCAGTTTGTAAGGTTTGATGGCAGGCACCTCTACACCTACACCTGAGCCTCTTGTTACACCTAGTTAAAAGATTTTTTTTCATTACTTAACACTTGATATTTATTTATTAGGGGCAAGGTATGATCAGTTGTAGAATAAGTATTAGTGTGTATTTATGATGTAATTGAGTAGCTATTTAACTTGATCATCTCTTTAGTATATGAACTATGGAATTTTTTTCCTTAGGTTCTTTTTTTTTTTAATTTTTAAAGTTTTTTTTTTTTTTTTTTGATTTTTCGAGACAGGGTTTGTCTGTGGCTTTGGAGGCTGTCCTGGAACTAGCTCTTGTAGACCAGGCTGGCCTCGAACTCACAGAGATCCACCTGCCTCTGCCTCCCGAGAGCTGGGATTAAAGGCGTGCGCCACCAATGCCCGGCTAATTTTTAAAGTTTTATTGGGAAATTCCTAAAGTTTATTCTCACATATGTTTTTCTTGATAGGTCAAGAACTTGCATCTTTGAATCATTTGGTGAGTTTCTTTCTCTTATGTAGTTGTTCTGTACTCAGGTGTTAAATGTCTGTATTGTGCCAGCCTCTGGTCTAGGTCCTAGGAGGCATCAGTAAGCCCACTGATGCCAGTTACCATTGTCTTAAAGTAAATTAAAAAGTACCTCATTCCATGACATTCCTTTTCTCTTTGTATTTCTGCAGCTGATATGTAGTTTTATTTTGTTGAAACCACTCTTCTACTGAAACTCTATCTAGAATGGTTAGGAAAGCCATTAGACCTATGGAGGAGTATTTATTTTATATACTTTTGACTCCTTTGTATTACAGTTTAAGGATTGTTTGTTAAAAGAGTTATGACATTCCAGCCGGGCACACGCCTTTGATCCCAGAGGCTGTGTTTAGTCTTTGCCTCCTTATTCTCTTTATACTTCTTTCTTTCCAGGAATATTTCATTTCTCCTTATTCTCTTTATACTTCTTTCTTTCCAGGAATATTTCATTTCTCCTTATTCTCTTTATGCTTCTTTCTTTCCAGGAATATTTCATTTCTCCGTCAGTATCTACACAAGAACAGGTTTCTCGTGTTCAGAAACTCCACCATATTCTAGAAATACTAGTCATCTGCATGCTTTTCATTAAACCTCAGCACGAGCTTCTCTTTTCTTTAACACAGTAAGTATTTTTTCTTTTTATTTTGAGGTGTTGTCTCATTTGTAGCCCAGGATGGCCTCAAACTCAATGTAATCCTCCTGCCTCCGTTTCTCAAGTGAAGGGATTACAAGTGTGAGCCACCACAACAGCTCACAGTAAGTATGGCTCTATTGTTTACTTACTTAAAAGCAATCCTCTTCTAAATATCTTCTTTTAAAAAGTTCAGTTAGCCGGGCGTTGGTGGCGCACGCCTTTAATCCCAGCACTCGGGAGGCAGAGGCAGGCGGATCACTGTGAGTTCGAGACCAGCCTGGTCTACCGAGCGAGTTCCAGGAGAGCCTCCAAAACAATACAGAGAAACCCTGTCTCGAAAAACCAAAAAAAAAGAAAAAAGAAAAAAAAATAAAAAGTTCAGTTAAAAGTATGCACCAAGCTGGAGAGATGGCTCTGCAGTTAAGAGCCCTGGCTGCTCTTGCAGAGGACCAGGTTCTGTTCCCAGCACCCTCATGGAAGCTCACAAACTGTTTCTAGCTCCAGTTCTAGGGGGATCTGACACCCTCTTCTGTCCTTCCATGTATTCCCTTATTTATTTATTTTTTTAATTTTGGCTGTGTATGATGACATATGTTCTTAATTCCAGCATTTGGGAGGCAGAGGCAACTGATCTCTGAGCTCTAGGTTCTACATAGGCAAGTTCAAGGCCAGGCAGGGCTACAAAGTGAGACCATGTCTCAAAAAATTTTTTTTATATTTAGTGTGCATACACATGCATGCCAAGACACACAGGTTGCTCATTGCTTATTTCTTCTTTCCAAGGCAAGGTCTCCCTGGAACCTGAGACTTTGTTTTCTCAGATAGGCCTCCCAGCTGAGTTGGCATTGCAGACATGTATGAGATATCCAGCTTGTTACGTGGGTTCTGGGATCTGGACTCTGGTCCTCATGATTCCATAGCAAACCCTTAACTGTTAAGCCATCTCTCCAAATCACTTTTTCCAAATTTAGAATTTGCATCAGTTGTGAAGATGTAAAGAGGAAAGTTTGAAATCATTATTGTTTATCCAATATAAAAGTTGTTTTTTTTTTTCCTATACTATACTATAGGAAATACTATAGACATGCTGGAGATGTAATGTAACACAGTGGTAGAATGTATGAGGCCCTAGGTTTATTCCCTAACACTAGAGAAGAGGGGGAAAAAAAGAAAAAGGAAAAGATCAGTAGTATAAATGAATTAATTTTTTAATTCCCTGGATTCTGGACAGGAGAGATAGTTCAGCAGATAAAAACATTTGGTGCCAAGTTTGAGGACCTAGGTTCATTTCCTGGGACCTACATTGTAGGAGGAGAAAACCAACACATCAGAGTTGTTCTCAGGTCTCTCTACATATATACTTTGAGATGGTAGCACCCACACAAGTTCACAAACACATACATACAATAAATAAATTTGTTTAAACTTCAAGGATTCTGAAAGCCATGAAGTCTGTATTTGTCTCTCCTGTGTTAATTTTTCTCTTTCAGATACTTCTTCCTACTTAAGTCTGTATTTGTGTTTGCCTGGGAATTGAATCTAGAGCCTTGCCTATGAAAAGCAGACTCTCTACCACTTAGCTACATACATTCTTAGCTCAATGTGTTTTGTTTTTTTTTTTTTGTAAGAAATCTATCTACTTTTTTTTGGGTTTTTTTTGTTTTTTGTTTTTTCGAGACAGGGTTTCTCTGTGGCTTTGGAGGCTGTCCTGGAACTCACTCTGTAGACCAGGCTGGCCTCGAACTCACAGAGATCCACCTGCCTCTGCCTCCCGAGTGCTGGGATTAAAGGCGTGCGCCACCAACGCCCAGCTTTTTTTTTTTTTTTTTTTTTTTTTTTAAGTAATGGGATTTCCTTGGACAGAAAGAGCGTAATTTAAGTTTTGTTGGCAGGGCTAGATGGGAGTGTTTGTTACTTATGGCTTTGAATTCATTCCTTCTGGTGATTTCCTGGTTAATGGTACTCATTTTCTAGCTATAAAGCCTTTATTTTTTCTGCTGGCTCTTATTCCTAAAAGAGATTGTTTTATCTTTCTAGATCCTGCATAAAATATTACAAACAAAATCCTTTGGATGAGCAACACATTTTTCAATTGCCAGTCAGACCAGCTGCTGTAAAGAATTTGTATCACAGGTGAGCAACTTAGTAATTAACATTGTATCTCATGGGCAGTTTGTAGCACATTAATAAAAGACCTAGAAACAGATATTGGGGTTCAAGCTTTAAGCTGAATATCAGAAAAGCAAAGTAACGGGCACTAGATCCTACTCTACCACAGGCTGAAAGGTGATCCTGGCTCCACTAAACCTCAGACTGCTGCCTCTCATCAGCATGACTGGAGAATCCTGAGACTTCAGTGTATTCCTGTCCTCAATGTGGCTGGAGAATAAATGCCTGATACTATCCTCAATGTGGCTAGAGAATGAATGCCTGCTCTGAGACCCTGTCCCTGTCTTAAATACCTCTTAATGAGTCCTGGAATTAAAGGCATGTGATCCCAAGTGCTGAGATCATCTTTGTGTGAGCTTTCTCTTTAGGACTGGATGTATCTCTTGTAGTTCAGTGTGGCCTTGAAGTAACTGAGATACACCTACCTCTACCTCTCAAGTGGTGGGATTAAAGGTGTATATCACCACCTCCTGGCTTCTATAGCTTGTGGCTGAATTTGCTTTCTGAATCCTCAGGGAGGCTTTAATGAATCATAAATAATACATCACCATAGTATCCATTTTCCATGGGATTTCATGACTCAGCATGGCTTAACCTCTGATCTTTAGTCTTTGTCCTACTCTCTGACCCAAGTTTCATGGCTTTCCGTATTCCTTCTCCCAGACTTTGTGTCACTTCAGACTTTTGAGTCTTTGTTCTGTCCATTACAGTTCTGTCACTGTTGTGCCCAAGTTGCGAAGATCCCCAGAGACCACCAGGGAGACAGACCCACTAAACTATAAAAGCAGTGTTTTAATTGTATTGATTGTTCATCCAACCATGACAGGGACCCCATCTAGCAAGTTGACAAAGCAGCCTCCAGAGGGAGTGAGTTTCCTGTCTACTGCTAGGTTTTAAAGACAAAAGTCACAGAACTATTTCAGTAGGTACGGGTTGGTTTCTGATTGGTTGACATTTGGAAACAATCAGGAAAAATTCTCAAAGTCATATTTTGGCATGAAGTACCTGTGTACCAATTATTTTCATTGGTCAGTGCTGAGAGGGAACATTCTATGGTTTCTATGGCATTGTCTTGTTACTTGCAGGTGGCCTGTTGTACATAGATACCATTAGTTTTCAGAACTATATCCTGGAGCCTACAGGGGAGGTTTTGGTCTCTCCTGGAGTTTCTTTTGGGGCCAAACAGTTCCCAGGAACCAAGCATCTAGGAGGCCTAGATGTTCTGGAGTTTCTTTGTGTTCAGTTTTGGTCCTAGGCTCCGGGAGGCCAGAGGATCTGGAGTTTCCTTGTGTCAGAGGCCTATGTGTCTTTTCTATAGCCTGTCATGGCTACTGAAGCAGGGGGCTGAGTGAGAGTCTGTTCCCCTTATTTCTAAATTACTAGAAGTGAAGCCCTTAAGTTTAGTTTACCCCTCCCTTTCAGTTATTTCTTTGAAAATAGGGAAATAGAAGTAGGATCTCAGTGTAGTTCATGCTGGCCTAAAATTTGTGATTCTCCTGCCTCAACCTCTCACATGCTAGAATTACTGAGTACGATGCCACACTTGGCTTACACATAGTTTCTCTATTTCTGCTTTTTATATGTATGTAAAACATACAATTTATTTTCTATTTTATGTTCATTGTGTTTTGTCTGCATGTGTACTGGTGTGAGAGTGTCAGAACTCCTGGAACTGGAATTAGAGACAGTTGTGAGCTGCCACGTGGGTGCTAGCAATTGAACCCCGGGTCCTCTGAAAGGAGCAGCCATCTAGGAGGGGATGGCTCTTAACTACTGAGCCATCTTGTCTGCCTCAGTCTATTACTGCTTTCTTTTTAAAATTTTTTATTATTTTTTGTATTCCAATCCTAGTTCCCCTCCCTCCTCTCCTCCTGCTACCCCCACTTCCCCTCCATATCCCTCTACTCCTTGGAGAGGGTAAGGCCTCCCCTAGGAAGTCTAGTAAGTCTGTCCCATCATCTTGTTGAGGCAGGACCAAGCAACCTCTCCACCCCCCACACCCCTGTGTCTAGGCTGAGCAAGGCATCTCTCCATATAGAATGGGCTCCACTAAGTCAGTTTGTGCATTAGAGTTAGATCTTGGACCCACTGCCAGTGGCCTCATACATTGTCCCAGCTGCACCATTGTCACCTATTTTAAGGGATTCTAGTTAGGTCTTATGCAGGTTCCCCATTTGTCAGACTGGAGTCAGTGACCCCTCACTTGCTTGGGTCAGCTGATTCTGTGGGTTTCCCCATCATGGTCTTGACTCCTTTGTTCATATTATCACTCCTCCCTCACTTCGATTGTACTCCAGGGACTTGGCCCATTAGTTACTTCTGTATTTCTGCATCTGCTTCCATCTGTTTTTTAAAAAATTTGTTTCTCTGCTGGGCAATGGTGGTGCATGACTTTAGTCCCAGTGCTGGAGAGGCAGAAATAGGCAGTTCTCTGAATTCCAGGATGGCCAGGGCTACATGGAAAAATCCTGTCTCTAAAAAAACAAAACAAGCCGGGCATTGGTGGTACATGCCTTTAATCCCAGCACTTGGGAGGCAGAGGCAGGCGGATCTCTGTGAGTTCGAGGCCAGCCTGGTCTACAGAGTGAGTTCCAGGACAGCCTCCAAAACAATACAGAGAAACCCTGTCTCAAAAAAAACAAAACAATAAAAACCAAATCAACAACAAAAGTTTTTCTTCAAAATGTGTGTGAGTTCTTTTCTCTCTTGTCTCTTGATTATACTTGTCCATGGCAGGCATTGTGACCTATTTATATCCCCCTCAGTGCTTGTCACATAAGGATCTCACTAAGTAGCTAGAGGGAAGGAAGGTATTTAGCTTTTGGTCACTGGCAGTTTACTTATTTTTAAATTTCTTTTGATCTTCTTTAGTGAGAAGCCACAGAAGTGGAGAGTGGAAATAAGCAGTAGTCAGAAGAAGGTGAAAACAGTGTGGCAGCTGAGTGACAGCTCTCCTATAGATCATTCCAGTTTCCACAAGCCTGGTAAAGATGACTTGTACTAAATTAAATCTTTCTGGGAGGAATCACTGTTACAGGTCTCTTCCTGAACTGTAGGTATAAAACATACTTTAAAGGAAAATCTGACTTTGTGCCGGTGTAAATATAATAATCTCTAACAAGATCTTTTTCTTATTGTCCTGGATAAAAGAGCCTTTACTGAATAAGGGCAAGAAGTAATGACACAAGTGGAGAGGTCAGTGAGGAGATGGAAATGTTAGCTCACACTATATACTGTAACCATGGTGATACTCTTTCCCAAGTGCATTCTCTGCAACTAGAATAAGGGTTGCCATTTCTGGTATCCTGTCAAAGATTGCCCATGTGAGTCTCTTAGCTCTTTATGTAGTTAACTGGCCCTCTAGCTTCTTCAGTAAGCACCTTTGAAACTCTTTATCTTCATGCAGACTGATTGTGATATTATTTCTTACTAGTATGGGCCTTAAGTGGTCACATTCAAATATTACAAAGATTATCTTAAAATAAATCTGACTGTTTTCTGACAGAGAAGATTTCAGATGCCTTAGTCAGCCACTGGTAGGAATGCAAATAGTTTTATCTTATTGATTGATACTGTCTTAGTTTCTTTCCTTTTGCTCTGATAAAATACCCTAATGAAAGCAACTTTAGGAGCCAAGCAGTGGTAGCACATGCCTTTAATCCTAGCACTCAGGAGGCAGTGGCAGGTGGATCTCTGAGTTCAGGACAGCCAAGGCTACACAGAGAGAAAAAACAAAAAGAAAACAAAAGGGAATTTAAGAGAGATAGGGTTTATCCTGGCTCATGGGTCATTGCATTCATACTTACGAAGAATGCTGCTGCTGAATTCCCTTTCTCCACTTACACAGTCCAAGATCCCTGCCCATAATTATGATGTATCTTCCCACATCATTTAGCATAATCAAGGTAATCCCTCACAGACCTGCCCAGATGACCATCTACCAAGTGAGTCTAGATTTTATTGATTTGAAATTAATACTAACACTAACCAACACAGCTCTACCCCAAACAAAACTGACAAAAGCAACTCAAGGGTCAAGGGCTTTATTTTATTTCACAGTCCAAGGTACAGCCCATCATGATAAGGAAGTGAAGACAGCAGGAGAGGAGCTTGAAGTAACTGTTGATATAAATTCTGTAGACAGAAGAAGAAAGAAATGCATGCCTGTATGCTGGTGTCAGCTCACTTTCTCCAATTGAAAGCAGTCCAGAATGCCTGGCCCAGGGAATGGTTCTGTCCATAGTGGGCAAGTCTCCCACTTCAGTAACACAATCAAAATAATCCCCACAACCTGCCCAGGCCTGTTTCTCAGGTGATTCTAGATTCTGTCAGTTTGGCAGTTGATAATATTACAGATAGACAGAATACAGAAATCCTTAAACTGAAAGAATTTTTCTGGAAGTCATCAGTTAAAATCATGCTATGTGTTTTTAAGTAAGATGTAAAACTTAGAACCAGGTGGTGGTGGCACCACATGCCTTTAATCCCAGGATTTGGGGGGCAGAGGCACTGGATTCTCTAAGTCCAGGATATCCAGAGAGCTATACAGAGAAACCCTGTCTTGAAAACAAAACAGCCGGGCGTTGGTGGCACATGCCTTTAATCCCAGCACTCAGAAGGCAGAGGCAGGCGGATCTCTGTGAGTTTGAGGCCAGACTGGTCTACAGAGTGAGTTCCAGGACAGCCTCCAAAACAATACAGAGAAACCTGTCTCGAAAAAACCAAAAAAAAAAAAAAAAACAACAACAACAAAACAAAACAAAAGACTAAATCCTAAAAATTTCTTCTCTGAAATTACATTATAATAGGATTCAGAACAGAGACTTGTTGAGCCTTAAGTGGTGACACAGAAATTAATGTAATTGTTTCTCAAGGTAGGGTAGTGCTTTCTTCCTTCTGTTCTATTTTTAACTCTGTTTTTAAGTGGTAAGTTGTTCAATCATGGTTTAAAAGGAGAGTGTACTGTATAAACAGTTGTCCTAGCTAATTTGCCAAACAGATCCTTAGATTATTTTCAGGTGGAAGACAGGTGCCATCCATACTCCTCATCTGCTGTATTGTAGTAAAGTCAGCATCGTACATAATGTGAAGCAGTTCTTACTGACCTCATTGTCTTTTTGGTTACAGATTTTTCTGAGTTGACACTGAATGGTAGTCTGGAAGAAAGGGCTGCTTTCATTAACATGGTTACCTGCAGCCAGGTACTCTTCAAGTAACACGTGCTGAGGGTCCCTGCAAGGTATCTGTGTTCTTCTCTCAAATGTGTTGTAATGTGTTAAGTACCTTGTGTTTTAGCTGTTTTTACATTGTCAATATTGAATCTACACATCAGAAATACGGTTGTTCACTTGTCATCTCCTGAATGGCCTACCGGTTTATTTACTTGACTTTTCGAGTCTCTAATTCCATTGTACCTTTTGTTGGCCACTTACTGCCTCTGCTTAACTCTAGAATTAAAGAAATGAAAATGATTTTTGGGTGATAATATCTTTGCATTTTAAATCTGAAGAGTTCAATTTCAAAAATCATTGATAAAAGAGAAGGGAGGCAGAGGCAGGCGGATCTCTATGAGTTTGAGGCTGGGCTGGACCGACAGCCTCCAAAACAATACAGACAGAGAAACCCTGTCTTATAAAACAGAGAGAGAGAGAGAGAGAGAGGGAGGGAGGGAGGGAGGGAGGGAGGGAGGGAGGGAGGGAGGGAGGGAGGGAGGGAGGGAGAGAGAGAGAGAGAGAGAGAGAGAGAGAGAGAGAGAGAGAGAGAGAGAGAGAGAGAGAGAGAGAGAGAGAGAGCGCGCTGGGCGTTTGGGCGTTGGTGGTTCACACCTTTAATCTCGGCAGAGGCACGCAGGTCTCAGTGAGTTTGAGGCCAACCTGGCCTCAAATGGAATTCCAGGACAGCCTTGACTTTTTTTTTTTTGAGGCAGGGTTTCTTTGTAACTTTGGAGCCTGTCCTGGCACTCACAGAGTCTCAAACTCACAGAGATCCGCCTGCCTCTGCCTCCCAAGTACTGGGATAAAGGTGTGAGCCGCCACCAGCCTTGACTCTTACACAGAGAAACCCTGTCTCAAAAAAACAGACAAAAACCAGTTTTCATCAGCTCAATTTCATTGAGCCCCAAATGTTAGCACCTTTTTAAAAATTTTTACCCTGGGGGGCTGGAGAGATGGCTCAGTGGTTAAGAGCACTGGCTGCTCTTCCAGAGGACACAGGTTCAAGTCCCAGCACCCACATGGCAGCTCACACCTGTCTGTAACTCCAGTTCTAGGGGATCTAGCATCCTCACACCAATGCACATAAAATAAAGTTAAATAAAAGTATTTTTTTAAAAATCTTACTCTGATTCTTTTAATCAGAAGGTAAGCACCACCAGGCTGTGGTGGGGCACACCTTTAGTCTCAGCCCTTGGCAGACAGAGATAGGAGGAGCTCTGGGTTCAAGGCCAGCCTGGGCTACACAGAAAAGCCCTGTCTTGATAAACCTAAAAAATAAAATCATCTTACTTTGAGATGGTATTAACTAAAAGGATTCAGGAAAATCCTCCCCCCCCTTTTTTTTTTGTTTTGTTTTGTTTTGTTTTTTGTTGTTGTTCTGCTTTTGAGACAAGACCTCACTGTGTAGCCCTAGCTGGCCTGGGATTCATGGTATAGAACAGGCTGACTTGGAACACACAGAGATCCTGGGATTAAAGGTGTATACTACCTTGCCCATCAAACTTCTTTCTTTGTTTCAGAAACAGAAATAAATAGAATTAAATAATGAGTAAAGTGTCTGACATTACCATTTCTTCTTAAGCTACATTTTTCCTCTAATTTTTTTTTTTTTTTTTTTTTTTTTTTTTTTTGGTTTTTCGAGACAGGGTTTCTCTGTGGCTTTGGAGGCTGTCCTGGAACTTGCTCTGTAGACCAGGCTGGCCTCGAACTCACAGAGATCCGCCTGCCTCTGCCTCCCGAGTGCTGGGATTAAAGGCGTGAGCCACCAACGCCCGCCTTTTCCTCTAATTTTAATCATAGTTAAAAAATAAAGTGAACTTTAAGACAGTGTCTCTCTATGTAGTTCTGGCTGTTCTGGAGCTCATTGTATAGACCAGACTGGCCTCAAACTCACAGAGATCTGCCCGCCTGTCTCCTGAGTACTGGGATTAAAGGTACTCCCCCACCTGGCTTTTATTTAAATCAAAGAAAGGAAAAAAAAAAACTAAAAAAAAAACCCTTTGTTCCCTAGCAGATGTTATTTCACAGTGTCTCTTGGCTGGCTGCAGCAGTGACTAGCATGCTTGATCTCCCTCAGGACACACATGTCCTCCTTCACTTGCTGCACAACTACTTAGCTAATAGTCTACATCTTGGAAGGATTTAGATTGGCGATAACCATCAGATATGGCAGTGCTCAGGTGACAGTCATTTGTACATTATAGTAATCTTTCCAGATAAATGAAAAATAATCTAGTTACAAAACTATTTGCTACGTTCCTAATTTTGAAAAATGAAATATGTGCTTGATACTCTGACTTCAGGAAAGTTGAGATTACAGGTCACTTTCATTTTATTTATGCTTATTTTTATTTTCTGATTCTTAAATCCCAGCACAAACCAAAAAAGGTGGAGGGAGAAAGAGGTAATTTTCAGAGCCTAAAATACAGACATCATATAAATTTTGAAGCAGAAAAGAAGTGTGATCCTGAAGATTCTCTGAAAGATGAAAGTGGAGATGAGATCCCATCTCAGCCGTGGCTCCTGAGAAGGAGTGTTAACAGCAGGGCAGAAATGAGGATGGAGAGGACGCAGACTGTGGGTACCACAATCTCTGAAGCCACGTGCATGTGCCTAAGCAAGGGCTCTGAAACAGACAGAGAACATTCCACCAGAAATGAACTTTGTTTTGGAGCAAAAACTTTTTTTATTTGTTTTGGGAACTCACTCTTTAGACCAGACTAGCCTTGAACTCCCAGATCCGTCTGCTTCTGCCTCCCAAGTGCTGGGACTAAAGGTATGCTCCATCACCACCCAGTTTTTTGTTTTTTGTTTTTGGTTTTTGGTTTTTCGAGACAGGGTTTCTCTGTGGCTTTGGAGGCTGTCCTGGAACTCGCTTGGTAGTCCAGGCTGGTCTCGAACTGACAGAGATCCACCTGCCTCTGCCTCCCGAGTGCTGGGATTAAAGGCGTGCGCCACCAAAGCCCGGCGCATCACCACCCTTAACACCACAGTATCTAATAAGTGGTCGTCTGGATGCATAGTGCCGGGCAGAGCATTCACTTGGCATGACACAGCCTTGGGGAATTCCTGCTATCACACAAAACTTAAGTGAGTTTGGAAATGTCACAGAAAATCTGGGAATGCCTAAATTTGGTTCTTTGATTGGAACTTCAGTAAGCCTAAGTATGGATATTATTTATACTGGCATTAATTCCAAAATATTAGCATCCATATTCCATGGGCTGTCTAGATTTTTCACTGAGGAACTTGTAAAAGAACCATTTGGGTTGGGTGTGGTGGTGCATACCTTTAATTCGTCACTGGAGAGGCAGAATCAAGCCTGATCTACAGAGGGAGTTCCAGGACAGCAAGAGCTACAAAGAGAAACCCTGCTGCAAAAGGAAAAAAAAAAAAAAAAACCCTGGAAACATTTTGTTATTCTTGATATGCTTATATATCTTATATACCCTTAAGAGATATAGGAGTGTCTATTACAATTTGGGGTGGGGGTTTTAGTCGTCGTCACACCCCCCCAGACAGGGTTTCTCTGTGTAGTCTTTGGAGCCAGTTCTGGAACTCACTCTGTAGACCAGGCTGGAATTCACAGAGATCCACCTGCCTCTGCCTCCTGAGTGCTGGGATCAAAGGCGTGTGCCACCACTACCGCCCGACTTATAGTATACTTTTTAATGATAATTCTTAAACTCATTCCTTTGTTGACACAAAAATTCATTAAAAACTTAAACAATTATTTGGTTATTCTTGCATGGTTTAATCTTTAAGAGCTAAGTGATATGTGCACCGATCCAATGGAAGTTCTTCATGCACCCCACTTTGATTTGTCTGCTGAGCACTCTGATGACTGAAATAAATGAGCATGGATATGTTCTTATGAAGCTCACAATCTTGTCAGACTCATCATCAAATCCTGATGATTACATGTACCACCGAAATTAATGCCAGTATAAATCCTGATGTTACATTAATTGATTGATTTGGTGGACGAGGGTTTACATGACCTGGTTATTTAGAAATGGGGATATTGGTGCATGGTTATATACTAACCTGTAAAGATAGTTTGTTAAGAGCATTTCTGCACAACCTGCCTTGATTCCACATTAAAGGAATAGGAAGTGTATTTCTTTGATTGCAGAAAAATGGATTTCAGCAATCCCAGCACTCAGGAGGCAAAGGTAGGTGGATTTGAGATCTTTGAATTCAAGACCAGACTGGTCTACTGAGTGAGTTCCAGGACAGCCAGGGCTACATAGAAACCCCCCCCCAAAATTTACAAAAAATAAAAATAAAAGAGGAAATTATGCCTTTTAAAGTAGGGACAGTACTTTGCTCATTGCTGTTATCTCTGAGGCTTAAAATAACCCTCAATATTTGCTGAAGATCTCTTGCAAGCCTGTAATCCTAGCTACTTGGAAGGCAGGAGAAGGAGGATCACAAGTTCAAGGTCTATTTGGATTATTGAGTTTAAGTAGCTAACCTGGGCATGTTATGAGACCTTGTCTCTCAAAGTAGAGCCAGGGCTGGAGAGATGGCTCAGTGATTAAGAGTTGACACCTCAGCCGGGCGTTGGTGGCGCACGCCTTTAATCCCAGCACTCGGGAGGCAGAGGCAGGCGGATCTCTGTCAGTTCGAGACCAGCCTGGACTACCAAGTGAGTTCCAGGACAGCCTCCAAAGCCACAGAGAAACCCTGTCTCGAAAAACCAAAAAAAAAAAAAAAAGAGTTGACACCTCTTCCAGATGACCCACGTTTGATTCCCTGCATGCACATGACAGCTCATTGCTGTAACTCTAGTTCTAGGGGATCTGACACTATCTTTCATCCTCCTTGGATATCAGACATGCACATGATAAATAGACATACACTTCATACAAACATGCAAATTTTTTTTGGTAGCACTAATAAGGTGACTTGGGGGTAAAGGCAGTTGCCATCCAAGCCTGACTACATGAGTTCAATCCCTAGAACCCATGTAGAGATGAAAGGAGAGAACACACAGTTGTCCTCTGCATGCCTCACATGTTCACACACATCATACATACATGATAGCAATAAATACAATTCCTCACATGCTCACACACACATCATACATAAATACACACACATACATAAAATAGCAGTGAATACAATTAAAGTTTAAAAAGTTAAAAAGAAAAAGTTAAAAGGATAGGGATATAGTCAATAGTAGAGTACTTAAGTGCTTTTAAAGCCCTAGGTTTAATCCTTAGTGATGCCACACACACATAAAGCTACTTGCA